CATCCTCTACTGCTTTCCCAGGCCATAGCAGAGAGTTGGATCGGAAGAGGAGCAGCCGGGATTAGAACTGGTGCCCATATGGGATGCCAGCGCTGCAGGCTGGGCTTTAACTCACTGCGCCACAGCACAGGCCCTGGGAATTTATTTTTAAAGTTTTTTTTTTTTTTCTCTTGTTTGAAAGGCAGAAGCAGGGGCAACTTCCATCCACTGGTTCACTCCCCAAATACCTGCAATGGCCAGGGATAGGCCAGACCAAAGCCAGGAGCTCAGAACTGAGACTCTAATCTAGCGCTCCCATGTGGGTGGCAGGAACCCAATCATCTGGGCCTTCACCTGCTGCCTCCCCACGTACTGCTCAGCAGGAAGCTGCAGTGGTATCAAAGCCAGGCACTCCACTACAGGATGTGAGCATCCCAACTGGTGGCTTAGCCGCTAGGCCAATGCCTATCCTGACTTTGCTTTTTTAGATACCACGTTAAGAATGGCCATTCCAGCTCTCTGCTGTGGCCAGGGAGTGCAGTAGAGGATGGCCCAAGTACTTGGGCCCTGCACCCCATGGGAGACCAGGATAAGTACCTGGCTCCTGCCTTTGGATCAGCACGGTACGCCGGCCGCGGTGGCCATTGGAGGGTGAACCAACGGCAAAGGAAGACTTTTCTCTCTGTCTCTCTCTCTCACTGTCCACTCTGCCTGTCAAAAAAAAAAAAAAAAAAAAAATTAAAAAAAAAAAAAAGAATGGCCATTATTGGGGCTAAACATTGCGGTGTGATGGGCTAAGCCACGGCCTGCAGTGCTGGCATCCCATATGGGTGCTGGTTCAAGTCCTGGCTGCTCCATTTTCAGTGCAGCTCCCTGCTAATGTACCTGAGAAAGCAACAGAAGATGACTCAAGTCCTTGGGCTCCTCCACCCGTGTGGGAGACCTGGAAGAAGCTGCTGGCTCCTGGCTTTGGCTTGGCCAAAGTGAACCAGCCAATAGATCTCTCTGTCTCTGTCTCTCTCTGTATAACTCTGCCTTTCAAATAAATAAATAAAATAAATCTTAAAAAAGAATGGCATTGAGTACTAGACAAATGTTTTCCATTTTGATGAAGTCCTACTTATTTTTTTTTCTCTCTTGTGCTTTCGGTGTTCTATCTAAAAAATACTTGGCGCTGGCACTGTGGCATGGTAGGATAAACCTCCACCTCTGGTGTTGGCATCCCATATGGGCACTGGTTCGAGTCCCAGCTGCTCCACTTCCAATTCAGCTCTCTGCTAATGGCCTAGGAAGGCAGTGGAAGATGGCCCAACTGCTTCAGCCCCTGCACACATGTAGGAGACCAGGAAGAAGCTCCTGGCTTTGGATCAGCCCAGCTCCAGCCATTGCAGCCATTTGGGGAGTGAACCAGTGGATGGAAAAAACTGCTTTCTGTCTCTCCCTCTCTAACTCTGCTTCTCAAATAAATACTCTTAAAAAAAAAAAAAAAACCAAGTAATCCAAGGTCTTGAAGATATACTCTTATGTTTTTTTTTTTTTTTTGAGTATTAGAGTTTTAGCCATTATATTTAGCTCTATAAGTTGCTGTTTGTATTTAGTATGAGGGAACTAAGGGTCCTTTTCAGTCTCTTGCACATGGCCATCCAATTGTCCCAGTACTGTTGGCAGAAAAGATGGTTCTTTCCCCTCTAGCACCCTTGCTGAAATTCAGCTGACCATAGATACAGGGATGTGTTTCTCTCAACCCTATACCCGTCTATCTTGTCAGTACGTGGCTCAGATTATTTTTGAATGGTCTTTTCACTTCTTCCTCATTAGCTGAGTACCCTTAGAAAATTCAGCCTCCTGTGGTCAGCTTCCCCATTTGAAATTAAAATTCCAGCACCCACTCCACTTAGGGTGGTTGCTAGGACTAAATATAGGGGTGTGATAGAGTTCGTGGTTCAGTACTCACCATATAAAGTGTAACTGAACAAAGATGGAGACATGCTTTTTCCTTGATACTTCCCAGTCTTCTCTGTCCTTTTCCTGCATCTATGCTGATGGGCCAACATACCGGTCATCCTGATCCTGGATCTTCAGTGGTCTGCATCTCCGTTCTGCTATCCACCAGCAAGGAACTGCTTCAGGTTTGTTTATTTTTATTAGTAACTGGAACCATTACACCTCAGCCTTATTTTTTAAAATTTATTTTCATTTTATTTTGGAAGATTTGGGGGGAGAGCAAAGAGAGATCTTCTATCTACTGGTTCACTCTCCAAATGCCCGCAACAGCTGGGGCTGGCCCAGGTGAAAGTCAGGAGCCCAGAACTGTATCCAGGTCTTCCACATGGGAGGCCAGGACCCAAGTACCTGTGGCATTATGCAGGCAGCTGGATCAGAAGTTGAGTTGTCCACAAATCAGAGGGTTTTCCTAACCAAGAACACCTTTTTTCAACATTTACTTTCTCTGTTCCTTCATCGCATTGATAAAGAACACTGTTTATTTGCTGCCCTTTTCTTCTTCCATTTTCTTTTTTTATCCTTAAAACTATGATTTGTGTCTGTGCAGTGGAGAGTTAATGTAGCAGGCCCAAGGCTATTAAAAGGGCCTGTTTGCAGAGTTGGCTCAAGGCTTTCAAAAGTTGTCTGCGTTTTCAGGTAATATTGTTTTGCCTACTAGGAGTATTAAATGCCCACCTTCCTTCTAGGGATCTGGAATTTAGAGAGGTATGCCTGGTCTTTGTGCCTGTGAATAGTCCTTGAGCTCTGAGGCTGAGGAGGGCTTTCCTGGGCACACACACTGCACAGCACAGAGGAAGCCTGTGTGTAGATTCCTGTGTGTTTTTTTCCCTGGCTTATCCTGTTGTACATCCTTTCTCTGTAATCAACTGTAGAATCTGTGCTAAGTCCTCCTAGTGAATTGCCAAACCTGTGGGTGGTTGTGGGACTTCTGACAGTGTCCTTCCCCGCCGCCCTCTATTCAGACTCTCCAAAGGCTGATGTATTCATGGACTCTAGCAGGTTTCCCTTGGTCCACTGACAATAGCTTCCAAGAAGTCTCCTTTCTTAGCTTCTGTAAGATAGCTGTATCTTGGCCCTCTTCGCATCTCGTTCATTTAGCATTTACTGAATGCCTGTATATGTCAGGCATTGTGCCAGGAATGTGCTAGTGAATGAAACAGGGTGCAGCAGATGGTCTAGTGGGAGAAGGCACACAGCAGATGGTACAAGCCAAGCAACGTATTGTTTTAAGAGTGATTTAAAGGGGAGATGTACTGCAGTAGGGTGGTCTGTGGAGACAGCATTGTGGCAGGAAAATCTGTTGGGTAAATAACCAGAAGCAGTGTTTACAGCAGAGAACAGCATGTGCAGTGTTTTAAGTCACCATTTCACACCTTCTATAATTGAAAGGGAGCCTGGTGCAGCTGGTGCACCGCAAGAAGTGGGAGTAGAGATGAGGATGGAGGTAGCAAGGTCGACACTTAGAGCTTTACAGGTCATGTTAGAACTTTAAATTTTAAGATCAGTGGGAACTCAGTAAAGGGTTTAATCAGCCAAGTGACATAGCTATCTTTGTAAAAGATTATTCTTTTTGGATTAGAGAGGTATAAATAGGGGGAGCCTTAGTTAGGGGTGTAGGTAGCAGACAGTGGTGACTGTGGGATGGCTGCGAACATGGAAAGTCGTGAATGGACATTGACAAATGGAGTTCTGCAAAAGCATCTACCTTAATCATCTCCTTCAACTCGCAGACCTTTATCATCCGTGTGGAAGACTCTAACCTTGGACGCTAATCCTGCTTGTGTGTTTCAAGCTGAACTGCCTCTAGCACCTAATCTACCTCTGTCCTGACATCGGCATTTCTGTTTATGACACTAGCTGCAGAGTCCAAAATGTGTAGTCACATTTGATTCCAGGCTCTCAGATTCCTCCCCACATGGCAATACAAACCTAAAATTAGAGTCTGCCAAGTATTATTTTTACTTTACTTCCATTTGTACATAAAATGAAGCTTCATCAACAAATATGAAAACTTGAGCACCCATTTTGAGAGCTACGCAGTTGTACTGGGTACATTCTAATCTTTTGTCTTTAGATACCATTTCTGCTATTTGATCTACAAAGGACCATATTTGAATTTCATCAATAACTGACTGACACGAAATGAAGAGAAAGCCCCTCTAAGTAATCAAAATGGAGTTCAAAGAGATCCCCACTAAATAAGACCATTGACAAGCATCTAAGAGCACTTTATCTCAGGTTACTGACCATACTGGTTCAACTGTGGGTAAAAAAAAAAAAAGAGTTGGAGGGCCAGCACTGTGGCATAGCAGGCAAAGCCACCACCACCTGCTGCACCGGCATCCCATATGGGTGCCATTCAAGTCCTGGCTGCTCCACTTCCCATCCAGCTTCCTGCTAATGGCCTGGAAAAGCACTGAAGATGGCTCAAGTACTTGGGCCCCTGCACCCATGTGGGAGACCTGGAAGAAGTTCCTAGCTTCAGCCTGGCCCAGCTCCAGCCATTATGGCCACTTGGGGAGTGAACCAGCAGATGGAAGCGCTCTCTCTCTCTGAAACTCTGCCTTTCAAATAAATAATCTTAGAAAAATAAAAAGAAAAAGTGAAAGAGAAAAATAAAGGAAGGAAGAAAAGGTTGGAGGCAGGGAAATAAAAGCTTCCAATTGAAGAAATGGCACAAAGTTAACCAACGCAAGGCTGACAGAAGTGTGCGTCACTGCTGCCTATGCTCCCAGCACTGTCTATACTTTCCACGTGTTACTGAAATAGGTGACATCTAACAATAGTGCACTTATTTAGACTCTGATTTTGCATATCAAATATTAACTGACTCAAGAAGTAGTTCCTTATCATAGAAATTTGGTTTCAGAGCTCATTTTTTCTTCTGGATTAAGATGGTTTCTATCTCCAGACATCAAAGGCTGACAGACAAGTGGCTACACAGGGACTCACAACACTAACAGATACTGCAGACACAGGCCTTGCCTTTACCCGTAAGGTAAATAATGTGCAAAACATGGGTGGTACCAAAGTATTTATTGTAAATGTAGTGGCAAATACATTGAGAATAATCAGCATTAAAAAGGAACTAGAAAATTACATGTTGAAAGTATGTGCTTTTCTCCTGCCACTATGAAGCTAATGGCAAGTACCACCATTTTAAGTAATGAAATACTTAATGGGATGGTCCATTTTCACATAATTTCTTGAGCAAATCTTCATCTTAATTTTTAAAGCAGTTCACCATGAATTTGTTTCAGTTATTCTCTGTTTTTATCAATTCCGTAATGATCTGTAGAATCTTGTCATCTGAGTAAAAGAAAAACAACCCATGAGTAAATTCAACACCAGCTAATTTTCCAGAATATGCACATATTACCAAGAGGTATATTTCATTAAAATATCTTAATTTAGAATACAAAATTAATAGCACTATTAACTCTAAAGCTAGAGAGGCCTATGAAGTATTTGTTGCTCTACAAATACTATTTTAATTATTGCTACAGTTATACTGCATATACTTTCCCGGAAAGTTACTATTTTGAAAAGAGCTGTTATTTGAGTCTGTATAGGCTAAGTCCCAAAGAGAGAAGTGATGTAAACCCTAACTTTCTGATCAGGAATATTTCCTTAAAAAATTCCTGTAAAACAACGAATTTTTCAACTTCTTCACTAGGCCGAACGTATGCTGCACTAACTCTTCCCTGCTCTTCAGAGTGTAGCAGGATTCCCACAGTCATGGGCAAGGAAGAAGCAACTGTCACCAGTTTCTCCACGTTCAAATGCAAAGGAAGCACACAGCTCTAACAGAGAAGCCTCTGGGAGAGGCGTCAATGGGGAAGTGACAGATCTCGTCACACAACAAAGCATTCCAGTTCCAACTGATCGACAAACAGAACAACAGAGACTACATTATTTGTCAAGGAGGTTTTGTTAACAGCTGCTTCTACCTCCATCTAAACAGTTGCTCTGAAATTGTGACTTCCTAACTACCTCATAACCATTCTCTAGAAAGATGTAATCACCAGGGCTGCAAGACTGAAATTCTACATGTATATTAGACTCTTTAGTGTGAGAATGCCAAATGGTTGCAATAGGAATTTTGATAACTGGACCTGTGGGGAGGTGAGGGGATAGGTTACTTTCACAGTTGGATCAATGTCAGGTCTAGAAAGAAACTTTTTTTTTTTTTTTTAAAGATCTATTTGAAAGAGCTAGATGCAGAGAGAGAGCAAGAGTGACAGCGAGCGAGCGAGCAAGCGAGCGAGATAGGTCTTCCATCCACTGGTTCACTCCCCAGATGGCCACAACGGCCAAAACTGTGCCAATCCGGAGCCAGGAGCTTCTTTGGGGTCTCCCATGCGGGTGCAGAGGCCCAAGGACTTGGGCCATCTTCTGCTTTTCCAGGCCATAGCAGAAAGCTGGATTGGAAGTGGAGAAGCAGGGACTTTAATTGGCCACCATATGGGATGTTGACACTGCAGGTACAGACTTTACCCACTATGCCACAGCACCAGCCCCAGAAATCTGGTTTTTGAGTAAGAGTAGAGAATAAAAGAAAGCAAAAGAGCAACTTCAAATAATTCTTTTTCAAAAGTCTGACAGTCTATCACAACTTTTTTTTTTTATAAGAAGTCCAAAAAAGGGGCTGGCATCGTGGAATAGAGGGTAAAGCCTCCACCTACAGTGCCAGCATCCCATATGGGTGCCAGTTCGAGTCCCGGATGCTCCACTTCTGATCCAGTTCCCTGCTAATTGCCTGGGAAAGCAGCAGAGGATGGCCCAAGTGCTTGGGCCTCTGCATCCACATTGGGAGACCCAGAAGAAGCTCCTGGCTCCTGGCTTCAGATCTGCCTAGCAGCGGCCACTGTGGCCATTTAGGAGTGAACTAGCAGGTGGAAGATCTTTCTCTCTAATTCTTCTTTTCAAATAAATAAATAAATATTTAAAACAAAACAAAACAAAAAACTCCAAAAAAGAGAGGACTACTATGTACTTTATGCTCCATCCCAAGTTAAAAGTATATGTTACATCTCAGAGTAAATTCTGGCTCCTCTTATGGAAAAGAAAAACACTAAAATAATTTAAGGAATATTTTGCTTAATTTGAAAGTTGAGGTTCAATACGTCTCTTATATAAGGCAATAATTTCTAATCCTGAAGTTGTAAAGCACAAAGCTCTTTGAAAAAAGAACTCACATCTCTTACTACATCTCTTACTAGGTTATCCAGCAGCACAGGAAAACCAGAAGCTTAGTGCTTTTGCATTCACATTTGGACACAAATAAACAGAGTATAAGGCTTCAGGATGGGAATACTAGATTGGCAGCTCCCAATTTGCCTGACTGTGAGAATTAGCTGGGGAGAGGCAGGCTGCAATGTGGTATAGTGTACTCAAATGACAAGAAAAAGGGCATGATTTCTACAGTCAATCTTCCAGACATTCTCTTAGAAGGTTTTCCATGCGTTGACACATGCTATGTGTATCCCATAGCTTTATACACACAAGTACTTACATACCCATGAACTATCTTCTACCTACATTATAATCAAACACTTACTTTCAAGGGACATCTTTGGATTTTCAAGCTTTTTTCTTAAAACAGAATCAATGAGAACTCTTAGCTGTTTGAAAATGACAGCTATCTTCACTGGAGCCTATTGGGAGAGGACAGATTGGACAAGATTAACCCAGGGGAGTGTGTTTAAAAAAATCAAGGCAAGCTTATATAACCTTACAATCTGCCTTCACACATATTGATTTTAATATAAAACACAGTGAGGAAAATACAAGCAAATTATTACTGATGGCTAATTTGTGCAAAGCCCTTATTTTCCTTATTTAGCTTGTTATCTCCCCCTGCCACATAACGATTATTCTAATAATTATTTTGTTTCTTAACATTAATCTTGTCAGAGTTAGGACTGTAGTTTTGAGGTACAGCTTACAAACCATAAAAATTTGTTATTCTAATTTAAATAATTTTTAGTAAATTTATGGAACTATCACTACAATCCAGTTATAGAACATTTCTTCCACAAAAACCTCTTTACACAAACTGCATGTATTTTTGACACTGCATTTAAAAATCATCTCTCTAGTCATAGACAAATAGTTACCATGGTAAAAAATAACAGGATGTATTAGATTTGCTTAACTTAAGCCAGTAAATGTTGATAGGGCTCTACAGAAATAGATTTTTTGCCAGAAATAAGCACAATATAATAGTTACTGATAATTATAATAGCGATATAATTTGACCTTCAAATTTAACAGGTTTAAATAAAATCAGGTAAGATAAAATAAGGAAATCTTCAACATAGTCTCATAGGAGGAAATTATGCAAAGTCCAAAAACATTTAAAAAAAAAAACTACCTCAATGATTTTGGAGGCTGAAAATTTTTATGTAATCCATAAACTCAGTTGTATACCTGAAAATAGATCCAGCCATCAATAGAAAGAAGACGTTCCCGGTGCTGAACTTCTATATCACCACCAAAAAGTAAAACTGGAAAAGGAGTTATTAGGGTTGTTTCCCTCAGATACACTCTGGCATACCTTATCTACACAGGAAAAGAAGGGGGAGAAAAACAACTTCACGGTCTAAAAACAATGCATAAGAAGTTTTACCCTTAATGATATTAACTAATTAATAACGTTAAAGTCATCTTTAAGTTTCAGAGTTTCTGTTCTGTAGGCCAGTGTTTAGCTATGGCCATCAGTCAGTAATTTCTCATGTTTTCAGTCTTAGGATATGTTGGGAGTTTTTCAAGCCAGTGCTTGAAATTATGGATCCTTGTTACTTTAAAGGTCAAGAATTGTAATAGGCACTCTTTTAGAAAAGGGAGAAGAAATACGTTTCAATTTGACATGTTTTCTTCTTATATTGCCTTTTTTTAAATTATTTTATTTTATTTATTTTACAGGCAGAGTGGACAGTGAGTGAGTGAGAGAGAGAGAGAGAGAGAAAGGTCTTCCTTTTGCTGTTGGTTCACCCTCCAATGGCCGCCGTGGCCGGTGCGCTGCGGCCGGCGCATTGCGCTGATCTGAAGCCAGCAGCCAGGTGCTTCTCCTGGTCTCCCATGGGGTGCAGGGCCCAAGCACTTGGGCCATCCTCCACTGCCTTCCCGGGCCACAGCAGAGAGCTGGCTTGAAAGAGGGGCAACCGGGACAGAATCCAGCGCCCTAACCGGGACTAGAACCTGGTGTGCTGGCACGCCGCTAGGCGGAGGATTAGCCTAGTGAGCCGCGGTGCCGGCCCTTATATTGCCTTTAAAATGAGTTCCTATGAGATAACAAAATTGAAAATATAGACAAGGGGCCATCTTAATATTCAGCATAGAATTAAAAACTAAGAAAGTTTAACTGAGTGCCAATCCAATTACACTCCAAAAGGTTGACTGTTTGAACTGGGATCTGTAAATATTTGCTGTTAATTATCTTAAGTGATATCACCCACAGTTCTACTCCATTCAACAATCTCCTTATTTGGAAACAAAGCATACAAAAAACACATCCTTTTTCTCTTCTAGTGAAATGCACATTATTAACCCCATCTATTTGCTATAATTGTCTATTTCAAGTAGAAAAGGTGATGTTCATGGTTAGAAATCTTACTATTTTTCTTTGCTTAAATGCAGGAGAAATAAACACTTTGCTTAAGAAACTATGTGCATCTTGATTTCACATATGAACAAAAATGTAGAGCTCAGTTTGCAAGCTAAATAAATTCTTACTGGGGCACCCTAACTTGTTATTAATAACTTGTTGAATAATCTCTGAAAGCTGGAATTGAAGAAATGAGCACTTTACCTTCTCCTGGTATAAGAGCCACCCGTAAGTTTGCAGATCTCGATTCACTGAAGATGGATGTACTTGTGCTTTGCCTTGGGCTGTCTCCACAATGCAAGCCAACTTTTCTGTAACATCGACTGACTTTGTATAGATTATCTTTCCTACGTTGTCATAAAGTCCAGCAGCCAATACAGCTTTCAGAAGGGCAATTTCTTGGAAAGACAGAGTCTGCGAGGCTCTGTTTCCTTCCCAGTTGTTAGAAGTGGTAGATGAAAATCCTGCTGCCTTGACCAACTTCATTAACTCCTGCTTTACATCCTTGATTGGTTTGTGTGAAAAACGGAAAACCAAACTTGATTAAAATAGAGAAATTTCCAAATAACCTTTTACTTTATATGACTTTTTCCTATAAAAATTGACAGGATGTGACATTTAGTAAACTGTAGCCCCAACATAAGTTAGGGAGGAAAGCAGGTACTGGAGTGTGATGATGAGAGTCAGCTGCATTCTGTACCCGAAGACTTCTGATGTCGTAAAGCACAAGAGTGTCCAAGCGAGCGAGAGCAACAGCCACATCTGCATACGTTTTGATTCACTCCATCTACCTCAACAGTAGCTCTCCCTTTCTGGGGGACATTTTAAATCAAGGAGTAGAGGACAGCATTAAGAAAGAATTACAGAAGATTCTGGATCCCACACTGCAAGTTCCTTCGTCATTTGGCTCTGGAACCCTCACCTTAATTTCCTCAAGAACCCTGACGAAGTTTATTAATGGCAGTTTCATTTAATTAAAATAGTCACCTAAAAGATTTTTCTACCTTCAGTCATGCCAGTTGGTGAAACACCTCAGGAAGGATGAGCTTTTTGCAAAATACACAGGATACAAGTAATTAAAAGGTGACATTTACACTTAGGATATTCTGCAGGTTTTCGGTTTGGGGTTGAAGGGACTTTGCTTCCAGGAAAGATCACAGAGACAGCTGCTCTAACACCTCAGTGCTAGGAGATGTAAAATCTTGCAGTCAGAGGGAAGGTGAAGAAAAAGGCTGATAGAAAGAATGGGGTGGGAGGCCATGTGGAGAATGATGAGCTCCTGGAGAAGGAATGAAGGAGAAAGGGCTCAGCTGAAGAACGGCCCCTCTGGGCCAGCTTTCTGGGATTCAAAATGTGGAAATCCAAGCCAGTCGGCCCGGAGAGGGCTATTTCTCCAATGCAGCCCTTACCTGCTTTTTTTCCCCCCTAGAAGATGTATTTATTAATTTGAAAGGCAGAGTTACAAAGAGGCAGTGGCAGAGAAAGAGACGCCTTCCATCTGCTGGCTTACTCCCCAAATGGCCACAATGGCCAGAGCTGGGCTGATCCAAAGCCAGGGGCCAGGAGTTTATTCTATTCTGGGTCTCCCAATGTGGGTGCAGGGGCCCAAGCATTTGGGCTATCCTCCACTGCTTTCCCAGGTGCATTAGCAGGGAGCTGAAATCAGAAGTGGGGCAGCCAGGACTTGGAACTGGTGTCCATACAGGATGCCAGCACTGCAGGTGGTGGCTTTATCCTTTTTTTTTTTTTTTCTTTTAAAGATTTTATTTATTTGAGAGGTAGAGTTACAGAGTGAGAGGGAGAGACAGAAAGAAGTCTTCCATCCACTGGATGGCCGCAATAGCCGGAGCTGGGCCAATCCCGAGCCAGGAGCTTCTTCCAGGTCTCCCACATGGATGCAGGGGCCGAACCACTTGGGTTATCTTCCCCTGCTTACCCAAGTCATAGCTGAGAGCTGGATTGGAAGAGGAGCAGCTGGGACTAGAACCGGTGCCCATATGGGATGCCGGCACTGCAGGTGGAGGATTAACCTACTGTGCCACGGCACTGGCCCCAGCTTTACCCTAGTGCCACAAGGCCAGCCACCTCTTAGCTGCCTTGAGAAGGACAAAGTTCGCTTAGGAGAAGACTCCCTCTGTCATTCCAGCAGTTATTTTAACTCATAAAAAGCAGTGGACAAAACTTCCTGGGAAAATATTTTTTAACCTTTTAAAATATAAATATAGAATAGGGGAGAGGGCCAGAGCTGTGGTATAGCAGGTTAAGTCTCCACCTGTAGCACCAACATCCCATATAGACACCTGTTCAAGTCCCGGCTGCTCTACTTCCTCCAGCTCTCTGCTGATGGCCTGGGAAAGCAGTAGAAGACAGCCCAAGTGCTTGGGCCCCTGCACCTGCATGGGAGACTCAGAAGAAGTTCCTGGCTCCTGGCTTCAGATCAGCCCAGTTCCAGCCGTTGCAGCCATTTGGGGAGTGAACCAGTGGATGGAAGACCAATCTCTATCTCTCCCTCTATCTCTGGGACTCTACCTTTCAAATAAATAAATAAATCTTTAAAAAAATAGAATAGGGGAATATGTGAGAGTTTATTTCCTGCATACTTTCATAGCATAACTGTACTAAGTGCCATTTTCCTTTAAATAACTATCATTAAAAACAAAGAGATAGTGCTTATGAGAAGGCCTGCTTTTTACAATCATTTGCACTTCTACTCTCTCTTCCCAGAAATATTTCTGGTCTTGAACACTACAACATGAATGATGGGCAAAGGTGTTGGTTTCTCTTGCTAAGAGCAGACTGTTAACTTGGTCACCGTCATAGGGTATGATGGCCTGGATATCTTTTTTTTTTTTTTTTTTTAAGATTTATTTTTATTAATTTGAAAGGCAAAGTGAGCATGCAAGAGAGAAATGGATGGATGGATTGATTTTCCATCTGCAATGGCTGGGGCTGGGCCAGGCTAAAGCTGGGCGTGTGGAACTCTATATGGGTCTCTCATGTGAGTGACAGGGGCCCAGCTACTTGGGCCATCTACCACTGTCTTCCCAGATGCATTTGGAGTTGTGTTGGAAGAAAACAGCAGGAACTTGAACTGGTGGTCCTATATGGGATGCCAGCATCATAGGCAGCAACTTAAGCCGCTGCGTCATAACACCAGGCACCCCAACTTAGATATCTTTTCAAAAGGAAACCATCTCGAGGCCAGCACTTTGGGCATAATGGGTAAAGCTGCTGCCTGCAGTGCCAGCATCCCATATGGGCGCCATTTTGGGTCCCAGCTGCTCCACTTCCAATCCAGCTCTCTGCTATGGCCTGGGAAAGCAGTGGAGGATGGCCCAGGTCCTTGGGCCCCTGTACCCGCATGGGAGACCCAGAAGCTGCTCCTGGCTCCTGGCTTTAGATCGGCACAGCTCCAGCTGTTGCAGCCAATTGGGGAGTGAACCAGTGGAAGGAAGACCTTTCTCTCTGTCTCTCTCTCTCTGTAACTCTACCTCTCAAATAAATAAATAAAATCTTAAAAAAAAGAGAACTGAAACATATCAAATATATTTAAATCCATGAGTTCATAATGATTTCTATCAAAAATAACATTCATTGATTACCTTTCAATTCATTATGAAAACTGCTAAATAAAAGGAAAGAATCAAGCATTGATTCTAATTATTTTGTACATACTATACCTTAGGGTATTCAAATATTGATAAAAGAAGTTTTTCTTTATGAAAGAATTCTAGCTAACAAGTAAAAACACAGTATATTACCATTTTGTAACCTCAAAGAATAATAGGTTTGAGTATTATTAATGGCTTTTAATCATTACATGAAAAGCTAATTGAGGATTTTGTAATGGGTGGATCTGGCTGACCTCATTGAGAAATCCCACTGCAAAAAGGGACACAACTGGAAAAAAGAAAGAAAAAGAATCTGAATTGGATAAAACCCTGTTGATATTAATAACAGCTTGCAGGAACTACAAGGCATAGAATATATTAAACAATATATTGAGGATATAATCAGCCCTATCCAGAAAGCAATAAATTCTACAGGACAAAATTTACTAGGTTTCTTCAAAACATAAATGGCAAATAAAAATGAGAGAGTAACTATAGATTAACAGACTATAGGATTATTTCAACCAAATTTTTTTTGTTGTTTTTGACAGGCAGAGTGGACAGTGAGAGAGAGAGAGACAGAGAGAAAGGTCTTCCTTTGCCGTTGGTTCACCCTCCAATGGCCACCGCGGCTGGTGCACCGCGCTGATCCAATGGCAGGAGCCAGGTACTTATCCTGGTCTCCCTGGGGTGCAGGGCCCAAGCACTTGGGCCATCCTCCACTGCACTCCCGGGCCACAACAGAGAGCTGGCCTGGAAGAGGGACAACCGGGACAGAATCCGGCGCCCTGACCAGGACTAGAACCCGGTGTGCCAGCGCCACAAGGTGGAGGATTAGCCTAGTGAGCTGCAGTGCCGGCCTCAACCAAATTTCATCTGTGGACCCTGTTTGGATCACGATTTGAACCAGCTATAAAAATAATTTATGAGATAAATGAGGATATTTATACACTGAATATCCAGTGATTTTAAAGAAATTTTTTTGACATCTGATGACATTAAAGTTTTTGAAAGGGTCCTATTCTGTGGGGAAGCACAGTGGTCTGATGCCTTGGGTTTGTTTTAAAATAATCCCGAGGGCAGACAGTAGAATGAAAGTATAATAAAATAAGATTGACCACATATTGATAATTATTGAAGTGGGAAATGGGTACAGGAGAACTTACTATACTGTTCTATCCACTTTTATGTATGGTTGATATTTTCCACAATTAAGGAAAAGATTACTCATTTTCAGAATTGAGAAGAGCTGTGGATCATCCCCCTTCATTATTTTTAAAAATGTTGGACTAAGACTTAAAGAGGTTAATTATCCTAATTCCCAAGTTGTTATTTTTTATGAAATTATATTTGCCTCTTCTTTATCATTTCCTGAATATTTTATGATCATTAAATGTAACCTGGAATCACTTATAATACATATAGGTTACTTGTTTAAAAATAATAAAAAATTATAAGTTTATGTTTATTAAACCTTTTTGTAAGACACCAGCTTAGGCATTCTTTTTTCCAAAAAACACCTGTTCCAGTTACTCATCTGACTCTCAGAGAGGTGTATAACGTTACCTCTAGCGTTAACAGTGCTGTTCTATTCAGAAAGTTCCTCCGGCAGTATGCAAGCTCTGAACGATAGCCTCCTTCCTGCTGTGCTTTCTTCCATCTAGATAAATAAGACACTGATAAACCAGAGTACATCACGCTTTCTTTCCAAACTCTTCAGGGACAGTAATCAAAGCAAGGCTTTACTTCACTGACAATCATTTTAAAAGAGGGGGTGCCTTGCTTGCTGTAGCAGCTACCAAATTACATAAAAGAATTTCAACTGTAATACAGATAATTTTTGTTTATGTATGATAGCAAAGTGTCACTTTAAAGATGAGACAATATACATATAATAGTACCAAATATAATGTTTTTAAATTTAGAAAGGATTATAATCTGTATAGGATATGAATCCCTAACATAATTATATCTTGACAAATGAAAAAAAAAGTTTAAATTTTAGAACTGTAACTTAATTAAAGTCAAAGACAAATTTTTTTCAAAAGTTAGCAAGCTCAGGTCACTGGCTTGTTGCTAACACCCAGCTTATTTCTTTACCCTAGATATGCATTGTAGATCGTCAGGTGATCTGAGTCCGCTATAGCCAAAGCAGACTTTGCAAGATCTGCTTCCTCTTTCCGACCAATTGGTGTGGTAAAAGGAGACTTCTCTGTCATAACTGCAGCCAGGGTTGCCTATCCATAAATAAGCAAACAGGTTATCATTAAGCATTTACTGAAAGCTTATTTGTAGAAGAAAGCAAATCATAAAACAATTACATTGTAAGTTGTCTTTTCTTCCTTTTAATACATTATGTATTACTACAGCTAACGCTTATTTTCATTTTACATAAGCTTTAGTTTATGGAATTTTTAAAAATACATCACTTTTTCAAAAGATTTATTTATTTGACAGGCAGTTACAGAGATAGAGAGGGACAGACAGAGGTATCTTGCATCCACTGGTTTACTCTGGGCCAGGCCAAAACCAGGAGCCTAGAACTCCATCTGGGCCTCCCACATGGGTTCAGGGGCCCAAGCACTTGGGCCTTCTTCTGTTTTCCAAGGCACATGAGCGGAGGGCTGAATCAGAAGTGGAGCAGTGGGGCTGGCATGGCACAGTGGGTTAAGCCGCTTGCCTGTGATGCCTGCATAACATATGGGTACCACTTCAAGCCTTGGCTGCTCCACTTCAATCCAGTAACCTGCTGATATGCCTGAGAAAGCAGTGGAAGATGGTACAAGTCCTTGGGCCCCTGTACCCATATAGGAGACCCGGATGAAGCTCCTGGTTCCTGGCTTCGGCCTGACCCAGTCCCAGCTGTTGCAACCATTTGGAGAATGAACCAGTAGATGGAAGCTCTCTATCTCTCCCTCTTTTTCTCTAACTCTGCCTTTCAAATAGGCAAAATAAATCTTAAAGGGGAGGGGCGGCGGTGTAGCATAGTAGGCTATGCCTCTGCCTGCAGTGCCAGCATCCCATATGGGTGTTGATTCTTTGATTCTAGTCTTGGCTGCTCCACTTCTTTTTTTTTTTTTTAAGATTTATTTATCTGGGGCCAGCGCTGTGGCATAGCGGGTAAAGCTGTCACCCGCAGTACTAGCTTCCCATATGGGTGCCGGTTTGAGTCCTGACTGCTCTACTTCCCATACAGCTCTCTACTGTGGCCTGGGAAAGCAGTAGAAGATGGCCCAAGTCCTTGGGCCCCTGCACCCACGTGGGAGACCCAGAAGAAGCTCCTGGCTTCTTATTTCTTGGTCAGAATTACACAGAGAGAGGAGAGGCAGAGAGAGAGGTGTCCCCCATCCGCTGGTTCACTCCCCAATTGGCCGCAACAGCTAGAGCTGCCCGATCCGAAGCCAGGAGCCAGGAGCTTCCTCCAGGTCTCCTGTGCGGGCATGGCCGCTCCACTTCTGATCCAGCTCTCTGCTATGGCCTGGAAAAGCAAAAGAGGGCCCATGTGTTTGGGCCCCTATACCTGCGTGGAAGACTTGGAAGAAGCTCCTGGCTTCAGATTGGCACAACTCCAGCTGTTGCGGCCATTTGGGAAGTGAACCCGCAGATGGAAGGCCTTTCTCTGTCTCTCCCTCTCTCAGATCTCTGTAACTCTTGAAAATAAAATCTTAAAAAAAAAAAAAATGTGGAGCAGCTTGGAGTTGAACTAGTGTTCATGTAGGCAGTAGCTTAACCCACTGTGTCATAATGCTGTCCACCCCTCATAAATCAGTTTATTTTTGTACCATCTCTGTGAGGTATAAAAGAAAAAAACTGCAGATCTGTGTGATTTACAGAATGTCATACAGTTTAGAGGTAGTATTAGAATCACAGCTCAGCTACCTTCTTCCTGCACTGCTGAATTTCCATTGTCTGCAATGCTCTTTAAAAAAGTCTGGACTACCTAACAACCCATTTGTGGTTCCTGCAGCTTTTCAGGAAAACTATCAAGGCAGAGGTTACGTTTTGATTTTGGCACAGTTCTGGTGAATACTTACTTCTAATACCAAAGGAAAAGAGACTAGAATAATATGTCATACTCTCTACATTCTGGTTTTAAACCGTCTTGATTTGTGCCTGGAAAAGGCCTCAGCTTGATAAAGCTGGAAAGTTGGAATGGCATAGAAGGCCTGTTTGTACAAGGTTTCAGACAGATGCACTGGATCTGTTTACTCTGGGATAATCTGAGAAAACAGAACTCTGATAATTACTGGTTTAGAGGGAGAAGCTAAACAACGGAAAGGATGAATGCTTTTGATTATACTTTTCAAAATCTGTGGTGTTCAAAGTTTCTTAAGAATCATCTACTATATATTTAATTAAATAAATGTTTCGAGTGAGTTTATAGCAAGCCAAATTCAGGATAATACTTATATGCACTTAAATATATGAACAGATTTAAAAAAAATTTTTTTTAAAGTTGACTTTTTTAAAAAAAAATTAGTTATTTGAAAGTCAAAGGGACAGAGTGAGAAAGAAATCTTCCATCTACTAGTTTACTCCTTAAATGCCTTTAACAACCCCAATTAGGCTAGGCTGAACCCAGGAGCCAGGAACTCCATCCATGTTTCCCATGTAGGTGGCAGAGACTGAAGTACTTGGGCCATCCTCTGCTGCCTTCTCAGGTGCATTAGGAGGAAACTGGATCAGGAGTAGAACAGCTAGAACCAGAACCAGCACTCTGATATAGGATATGGGTGTCCAAATGTCCCAGTATAACCTACTGTACCACAATGCCTGCCCCAAAAGTTAAATACTACATTAAAAAATTCTTACCAAGCATTCAGGCCTCTGGATTTTAATGTCAGTACAGACATTTTATTTAGCTAAAAAGACAATTAAATTAAAAGTTAAAAATTGTAGGGCCAGCATTGTGGGGTAGCAGGTAAAGCTGCTGCCTGTGATGCTGGCTTCCCATACAGGTGGGGTGCTGGTTCATGTCCTGGCTACTCCACTTTTGATCCAGCTATCTGCTAATGGCAAGGGAAAAGCATCGGAAGATAGCCCTAGTGTTTGGGCCCCTCCCACTCATGTGGAAGACCTTGAAGAAGCTCCTGCCTCGGCCTGAGCCAGCCCTGACTGTTGCACCCATTTAATGAGTGAACCAGTAGGTGGAAGATCTCTGTCTCTCCCTTTTTCTCTGTAACTCTGACTTTCAAAGAATCAAATATTTCAAAAAAGTTTAAAACTATTACCAAACTCACTAATTTCCCAGCTGAATAATACTTAAAGTGAAGTAGCAGCAGCGTTATTTGACTTACCACTGGGTCAAGGCAGCCAAATATGGCACCAAAAATAAGCATCTTGCCAATCTTGACATTCACAGGTAAAGCTGCAAGGTGTTGGCCCAATGGAGTTAGTTTAGGCTCATTTAGTTCACAAGCTCCAATTTTTCGGAGTAAATTCATCGCATTGCTGATTACTTGAAGTTGAGGAGGATCTAAGGCTTTGGAGAGGAAATCTTCAGGAGACCCAAGATTACATTTCTGCGGATTGAAAAACAGTGATACAACTGGCATGTAATTGGAAAGAATTAACACTATCCAAAAGATAGAAAGTTTGAGTTCAGTAAAAATTTGAGGAAAGAGTAAAATGTATGAGGCTCTCCTATTATTTTTCTTGTAACTGGGGCAGTGTGCTCTGTGTGCATATGTATGTTTGGGTATGAGGATATACATATTTTTATGTCCTTGAGTTTTAAAAAGTCAAACATCTAAAACTAAAAGATATTATAGATCTTTAAAAAGTCAAACATCTAAAACTAAAAGATATTATGGATCTTTCACTCTAGGAATTCCTTGGTGTAGTTAATGTTTCTCAGTGTCAGCACTAGCAATATTTTGGGCTGGATAATTCTTATCTTATGGAGGAGCTGTCCAGTGCACTGTCAAATGTTTCAAGCACCCCTCATCTCTATCCACTAAATACCAGCAATATTTATCATCTACCCGGTTTGATAACTAAACTGTCTCCAGACAATGTTAAGATATACCCCAGTAGGCAAGACTGCCCCTAGGGGAGTACTACCTGCCTAGCTTATGAGGACATATTTTAGTATATAAGTAGCAATATCTATAGTAAAATCAAAGCAGAGTGGATTTACTTATAGACGGAGCAAAGCATACATTAAAGTAAAATATGTGAAAAGTTAAAGCAACATAAGTTTATTCATTTTTTTTTTCCTAGAGAGGAGAAAACTTCATTCCCATTCCCTCGGGGTTACCATAATATGCAGACATAATTCCTCCAGGGGTACGCGCAATATTTCAGGAACAGAATAGTCCATAAAGCCTTCAAATCTAAAAAATAAAAAATTATATGCATTTCCAGGACTGCTGACAGTATGGATAATATGCTTTAAATGTCCAGCCCCATGCCATACCTTTCTCTTGTGTACATTCGGAAACAGAAGCCATCTCGGACTCTCCCAGCTCTCCCCTGGCGCTGTAGGGCACTAGCTTTGCTGACAAAGGTTTCCACCAGAGAACTCATCTGACTGCTCTCATGGTACCTAAAGAAGTGTTTAGGAGAGAACAAGTAGATAGTTGACTTTTCAAAATCAGAAAAAGAAATATTTAACCCTTAAAATTGAGGGGCTGGTATTATGGCACAGCAGGTGAAGCCACTGCCTGTGATGCAGGCATAAATATGGGTGTGAGTTTGTGCCCTGGGCACTGCACTTTCAATCCAGCTCCCTGCTAACAGCCTGGGAAAATCAGCAGAAAACGGCCCAAGTGGCTGGGCTCCCGCCACCAACACAGGAGACCAGATGACACTCCAGGCTCCTGGCTTAGGCCTGGCTCAGCCCTGGCCATGGCAGCCACTTGGGGAGTGAATCAGAGGATGGAAGACCTCTCTCTGTCTCTTCCTCTCTCTCTCTAACTCTGACTTTCAAATAAATAAATGTATCTTTAAAAAAAATTAAGTTGATGGCCGGCGCCGCGGCTCACTAGGCTAATCCTCCGCCTTGCGGCGCCGGCACACCGGGTTCTCGTCCCGGTCGGGGCGCTGGATTCTGTCCCGGTTGCCCCTCTTCCAGGCCAGCTCTCTGCTGTGGCCAGGGAGTGCAGTGGAGGATGGCCCAGGTGCTTGGGCCCTGCACCCCATGGGAGACCAGGAAAAGCACCTGGCTCCTGGCTCCTGCCATCGGATCAGCGCGGTGCGCCGGCCGCAGCGCGCCGGCCGCGGCGGCCATTGGAGGGTGAACCAACGGCAAAGGAAGACCTTTCTCTCTGTCTCTCTCTCTCACTGTCCACTCTGCCTGTCAAAAAATAAATAAATTAATTAATTAATTAAAAAAAAATTAAGTTGAACATAGGCCAAAAAAGTTCATTATTGTGGATCAACAGTTCTCAAATTGTATTTCCTATTTAAATAACTTAGCAAACATTACATACTAAATCTCATACTACCAAATTAAAAGCTCTAGCACAAATAAAAACAAAACACGGTTTAACTTACTCTTCCTCAAACTAATCTGACCAAGGAATCTTTTTTTATCTTAATGGAGTATCTAATAATTATATAATTCTTTGAAATAGTTTAAGAAGTGCCCCTGTGAACATTACAATTCAATTGACCTTTCAGAAGATAAAATTAAATCCTCAAAACATTCCCTCTACATGTATAATGCAATCAAGAATTTCTTCACTACTAGATAGGAAAAATCTTTTTCAAATACTGCTAGTTTCCTACTGGAAATAGTATATATAGGTAATGATAAATAAAGGTAGTATCACCTACTTATGTAATATAGACATTAAAATATTTATGAAGTAACAATCTTTTTATTAAAGATTCACCTAAGGTTGTCTATACTTATTATGTTCCAGTTACTACATAGCGCATTTTTAAATAGCAAATTTTCATTTTCCTCATTTACTATGAGGAAACTGATGATTAGAGAGGTTATGTTACTTGCTCAAGAGTATAGATCAGAGATTTTAAATCCAATTGATTCAAAAATTCATACTGGTTTTTATGTGATTCTATAAATAATGCTTTTATATATAAAAATATAGATAATATAATGCTTTTATTTAAATTAAAAAACATTTATTTTACAAACCAAAAAATCTACAAAAATTTACGTTCTGAAAATTTTCTGAGCACTTTTCTAAAAGTAGCAGTGCACTGGAACTACTTACTGGAGAGTCTATGGCATGAAACTCTGACATTTATTCTTAGCCATTTTAAAGTTTCCTACAGTCTTCCTAAGGCTTTTTGCTTTGGCCTGAATTAGAACATTAGAATTTTCCCTAAATGATTCTGTGATTTCTTCTAAGAATTAAAGAGCCTCCAATTCTTTCCAGGTTAAAAATGTTTTGATTTAGGAAATTCAAACTTACTTGTTTTCTTTTGTTCTTCCAGTATCAATTACAAATACGACATCTGGAATAGTGATACCCGTCTCTGCAATATTGGTTGCTAAAACAATCTGGAAATAAACAAAAAGCTAAAACATTTAGACATCTTCCCACAATATTATACCATCATTTCAACTTCTTTTGACAGTTGGAGCCAATGAATTAAGTGAATTTCAATTTTAATCACAAAATTTTATAATCTATGTAATTTTAATTTGCTCTAACTCAAAGTTACAGACTTTGTTCCCAACAAAAATAACATTCCCCTGATTCTAGTCAGTCACCTTAAAAATGACAGTTGTAAGGCCAGCACTGTGGCTCAATAGGCTAATTCTCCACCTGCGGCGCTGGCACACCGGGTTCTAGTCCTGGTCGGGGTGCCGGATTCTGTCCCGGTTGCCCCTCTTCCAGGCCAGCTCTCTGCTGTGGCCCGGGAGTGCAGTGGAGGATGGCCCAAGTGCTTGGGCCCTGCACCCCATGGGAGACCAGGAGAAGCACCTGGCTCCTGGCTTTGGATCAGCGCGGTGCGCCAGCCGCAGCAGCCATTGGAGGGTGAACCAATGGAAAAGGAAGACCTTTCTCTCTGTCTCTCTCACTGTCCACTGTCAAAAAAAAAAAAAAAAAAAAAAAAAAAAGACAGATGTGGACAAGGAAACTGGGTCAGAGAATGGAAACAGCTCAACACAACCCTTCACAATTATTTTGGGAAAAAAAATACAGCACATTACTGAGAACTGGGTTGTACCTGGTTCTGTTACTTATTAGTTTTATGAATTTGGGCAAGTCACTTTACTTTCTCAATTACTTTAAGTGTAAGTCAGGAAGAAGAAGTAGATGGTTTCTTAGGTCTAGCTCTAAAATTCTAAACAGTGATGGCTGAATACTGAAATCTGTGTTTTTTTTTTGAATTCTTAAAATACTTAGGAAATTCTAGTAGGTCAAATTTAGTAAGTATTGCTCTGTTTCAACTGTCTTTCAATTCTGAATGATTGCTTCTTTTATTTATCCTAGGAAATGGGACCCAGATAATTAAAAGGTAATGGGAACTATGAAGTAGAATGATCATCATTAGTGTTCAAAATTTTAAGAGGTAACTTTGGGGTGGACGTCAGGCTTAGCAGTTAAGACAATGCTTGTGACACTGACATGTCATATCACATGCCCTATGGCAGTGCTTGGGTTTGAGTTCCAGCTTTGCTTCCAATTCCAGCTTCCTGCTCATATACATCCTGAGAGGTAGTGGTGATGGCCCATGTACTTGGTCTCTGCCACTCATGGGGGAAAGCCAGATTCGGTTCTGGGCTCCTGGCTTTGCAGGCATTTGGGGAATGAACAAGGGGACAGAAAAATATGTCTTTCTCTGTTTTTCTGCCTTCCAAATAAATTTAAAAAGAGGTGAAACTTATCTTCAGACAAAATCTTATAATTAAGCCCAACTGTTACAGATAAGAGTACATTCTCAAGATCTCTAGAGTTCTCAGAGCAGTTAGAAAACCATCAGTTTCATCCAAACCCATTGAAAGATGAAAAAAGCAAGGATGAGCAGTTGCCAAAGGCTACACAGATGATACAGTAGGGACTAGAGTGCAGGCCTCCTGTGTTACAGGCTGGTTCGTTCTAGGAGCTCTGTGTTCATTTCATTCTCCTGGAGAGAGGGCTCAAAATCTGAGAAATTCTTTGGCAAGCATCTCTTTCATTCAGAATCCTATGAACTATGAACCATATAAATAATCACCTCGTGGGAGTTAAAGAGCTCCTGACATCCAAATCCCCATGATGCCTTCTCTAGAAAAAGCAGTGCTTTTTCATTTTCAAGTTACAACCATGGCATATTTTTCAACTACCACTTCCTCAAAAAGTCCTGTCTTTTTGATAGCATATAATGTAAATGCTTGAATTTTAATACTGGGCTCAACTCTGATTATGTTAAACTGCAGAGCACGTGGAGTGTGCCATCCTGTATAATTACTGTCTTTGATAATAAAAAGTCATAATGCTTTCATGAAATATTCCCAGGTAGACCAAATATAAACTTGCTGTGCAGAATTTTACCTTCCTGACTCCTGGAGGAGGAAGAGTGAATGCTGCAGCTTGATCTTGAGTTGAGAGAATAGAATGCAGAGCTATCACTTTATATCTGAAAGTTAAAATCATAGTTCTTAGCAAGAGTTTCTCTTTAGAAGACACTGCAAAGAATAACAAAATTTATTTGCATATAGGAAACTTAAAAATTTTAATTTTACATTCAAATATACACAAAAGCTCCCCATAATGATCCAATGAAAACCCATATACACCAATCATAGAGGAAGGATTTAATATGAATAACTTATGAGTACCCCTTCTTTGAAATAGCTGGGACTAGAAATGTTTCAGATTTTGGATTTTTTTAGATTTTAGAATATTTGCATATACATAATGAGAGAGTATGAGGTAGAACCCAAGTCCAAACAGGAAAATCATTCAGGTTTCATATGTACCTTTTACACATGGCCTGAAAGTAATTGTATATAGTGTTTTCAGTGCACCTATATATTGATATTGACCTATCACATGAGGTCAGATGTGGAATTTTCCACTTATAGTTTCATGTTAGCACTCAAAAAGTTTTAGATTTTGCAGCATTTCAGACTCTGGATTTTTAGATTAGGGAGACTCAACCTTCTTAATGCAAAATAGGATTTAAAGAAAAAAAAATTTTTTTTGACAGGCAGAGTGGACAGTGAGAGAGAGACAGACAGAGAGAAAGGTCTTCCTTTGCCGTTGGTTCACCCTCCAATGGCCGCCGCTGCAGCCGGCGCACCGCGCTGATCCTGGCAGGAGCCAGGAGCCAGGTGCTTTTCCTGGTCTCCCATGGGGTGCAGGGCCCAAGCACCTGGGCCATCCTCCACTGCACTCCCTGGCCATAGCAGAGAGCTGGCCTGGAAGAGGGGCAACCGGGACAGAATCCGGCGCCCCAACCGGGACTAGAACCCGGTGTGCCGGCGCCGCAAGGTGGAGGATTAGCCTATTGAGCCACGGCGCCGGCTCCCTGTTGGATTTTTGAATGACTTAGTGGGTTGGTTCAGGGAAGTCACCACCTTACTCTTAATATCCTTAATTATATTAATAAATGTAGATATAACACCTCACAATTTTAGTAGATAAAATGCTATAAAAAATGTTAAAAAATGTGCTTCACCATAAATAATTTTAACTAAAGTTGCAAAGACTTGAAAACTCTGATGAAGAGTTTTAATCTACCAAACATTTGTCTTAAAACTACTGGGATTATAATGAAGATTTATAGTTACCGTTCAGAATAAAATCTTCTATCATTTGACAGGAGATCATACAACTGTTGAATATGAGCAAGGCCTGGTAAAAAAATCAATACTGCTCCTTCAATATTTCTGAACTGTGGACTTTTGTCTGAAATTAAAAAAAAAAATACAATATTCCAAATAAGAAGGAACAGCATATAAAATATTATATTTCCAGTTAGTGTAAATGTTTTATCCAAACCAATGAGGACACATTAGAAATAGAAATACCTAAATAGACGAGAAGTTCCAAAATGAGATCCAGGTTGATTTTATGAGGATTCATGTAGAGAATAGCATGCTGAGTACGGTTACTGTACTTTTGGTAAAGTGGATTTAAATCAGCAGTTGTTCCAGTCTGAACTGGGATGTATTCCTAAAAAAAAATCCAACCACAGGTGAACATAAATATTAAAGACTTTTATAAGACAAGGGAAAGAGGGAGCATTTTTACTTTATTTTTATTTTTTAACTTTTATTTAATAAATTTAAATTTCCAAAGTATAACTTTTTAATTATAGCAGCTTTTTCCTCCCCATAACCACCCTCCCACCCACAAACCACCCCATCTCCTACTCCTTCTCCCATCCCATTCTTCATTAAGATTCATTTTTAATTAGCTTTATATACAGAAGATCAATTAGTATCTACTAAGTAAAGATTTCAACAGTTTGCACCCACACAGACACACATAGTATAAAGTACTGTTTGAGTAGTAGTTTTACCATAAATTCGCATAGTACAACACATGAAGGACAGAGATCCTACATGGGAGTAAGTGCACAGTGACTCCCGTTGTTGATTTAACAACTGACACTCTTATTTATGACGTCAGTGATCACCCGAGGTTCTTGTCTTGAGCTGCCAAGGCTATGGAAGCCTCTTGAGTTCACAAACTCTGACCTTATTTAGACAAGGTCATAGTCAAAGTGGAAGTTCTCCTCTCCTCCCTTCAGAGAAAGGTACCTCCTTCTTTGATGGTCCCTTCTTTCCACTGGGATCTCACAGAGATCTTTCATTTAGGTCATTTTTTTTTTTTTTTTTTGGCCAGAGTGTCTTGGCTTTCCATGCCTAAAATACTCTCATGGGTTCTTCAGCCAGATCCAAATGCCTTAAGGGCTGATTCTGAGGCCAGAGTGCTGTTTAGGACATCTGCCATTCTATGAGCCTGCTGTGTATCCCACTTCCCATGTTGGATGTTCTCTCCTTTTTAATTCTATCAGTTAGTATTAGCAGACACTAGTCTTGTTTATGTGATCCCTTTGACTCTTAATCCTATCATTATGATCAATTATGAACTGAAACTGATTACTTGGACTAGAGAGATGGCATTGGTACATGCCACTTTGATGGGATTGAATTGGAATCCCCTGGCACATTTCTAACTCTCCCATGAGGAGTAAGTCTGCTTGAGCATGTGCCGAACTGTACATCTCCTCCCTCTCTTATTTCTACTCTTACATTTAACAGGGATGACTTTTAAGTTAAATTTAAACACCCAAGAATAATTGTGTGTTAACTGAAGGGTTTAACCAATGGTATTATGTAGAACAAAAAAATACTAAATGGAATAAAGTAGTGAGTTGTCCCTCAACAGTCAGGACAAGGGCTGATCAAGTCATTGTTTCTCATAGTGCCCATTTCACTTCAACAAGTTTCCTTTTAGGTGCTCAGTTATATGTCACTGATCAGGGAGAACATATGATATTTGTCCCTTTGGGACTGGCTTATTTCACTTAGCATGATGTTTTCCAGATTCCTCCATTTTGTTGCAAATGACCAGATTTCACCAACAGAATGGGAAAAAATATTTGCCAACTATGCAACTAATATAACCAGAAATGCAACCGAAAATAACCAGAATCTACAAAGAGATCAAGAAACTCCACAACAACAAAACAAACAACCCACTTAAGAGATGGGCCAAGGACCTATATAGACATTTTTCAAAAGAGGAAATCCAAATGGCCAACAGACACATGAAAAAATGTTCAGGATCACTAGCAATCAGGGAAATGCAAATCAAAACCACAATGAGGTTTCACCTCACCCCAGTTAGAATGGCTCACATATAGAAATCTACCAACAACAGATGCTGGCGAGGATGTGGGGGAAAAGGGATACTAACCTACTGTTGGTGGGAATGCAAACTGGTAAAGCCACTATGGAAGTCAGTTTGGAGCTTCCTCAGAAGCCTGAATATAACCCTAGCATACAACCCAGCCGTCCCACTCCTTGGAATTTACCCAAAGGAAATTAAATTGGCAAACAAAAAAGCTGTCTGCACCTTAATGTTGATTGCAGCTCAATTCACAATAGCTAAGACCTGGAATCAACTTAAATGCCCATCAACAGTAGATTGAATAAAGAAATTATGGTATATGTACTCTATAGAATACTATACAGCAGTAAAAAAAATGAGGGAGCATTTTTATTCATTCAAATCTATATTCTTGGCCGGCGCCGCGGCTCACTAGGCTAATCCTCCGCCTTGCGGCGCCGGCACACAGGGTTCTAGTCCCGGTCGGGGTGCCGGATTCTGTCCCGGTTGCCCCTCTTCCAGGCCAGCCCTCTGCTGTGGCCCGGGAGTGCAGTGGAGGATGGCCCAGGTGCTTGGGCCCTGCACCCCATGGGAGACCAGGAAAAAGCACCTGGCTCCTGGCTCCTGCCACCAGATCGGCGCGGTGCGCCGGCCGCGGCAGCCATTGGAGGGTGAACCAACGGCAAAGGAAGACCTTTCTCTCTGTCTCTCTCTCTCACTGTCCACTCTGCCTGTCCAAAAAAAAAAAAAAAAAAAAAATCTATATTCTTTTTGTCACTATAATTATTTTGTTAAATTATAGAAAGAGTACATTTTTTTAAGTCAAAAAGTGTAAAATTTCATACCTCTCCTATAATCAATTTTATCTAGCCCTGCAATAAAACAAAATCTCTTTATCTTGGCATGTGCATACAAAAAGAACTGTAGAAAAACATTCTAATTATGTATGCATCATTCAGTGGTGATTATAAAGCAGCCAAAGAGAGGTTAAAATAGTTTATATCTACCTCATTCCTTTTGCATTCTACTTTGGCTACTGAATTCCAATGATTTCTTTTGAAATAACTACTTCTCTGAAGTAATTTTTTTGGGGTACAATTTCTATCTCTGTAGATTTAGGGAATCATTTTACTTTTTGCTTTCTTGGTTTATCTACTTAATTAAAAGAAAAAGTAACTTTAACTTTGTTTCCATTTGATTAGATATGTGTATGAAAATCAAATGTAATATGCTTATAATGAAAATGTTGGATCCTGGCTGAAATACAGGAGAATGTAGCTCTCATGACATTTCTAAAATAAGTGATCAAGTCTAACTTCCCAGGAAAATCTGTACTTACCAGAGGTAGCGTCAGCACAGTGCTATGCTTGGGTACTGCTAAAACAGAAGTTGCTAAGAAAATAAATGGCAAGGATGTAGATTTTGGAACTACCCCATCCAGACCATGTGTGGTGTTGCAACAAAGTAAAGAACTTAACTATAAGTTTGCTCCTCAACTGATCATTGCTATGAAACTTTTGTAATGATCCTGTGGGGGAAGCAGGACACACAGCAGACTCATAGAATGGCAAATGCCCAAAACAGCACTCCTGCCTCAGAATCAACCCTTGGGACATTCGGATCTGGCTAAAAGGTCCATGAGAGTCTCACAGGCATGGGAAGCCATGACACGGTGGCAAAAAACAATCTGAATGAAAGATCCTGGTGAACAACACCCCAGCAGAAGGAAAAAAAAAAAAAAAAAAAAGAAACTTTTGTAAATGCTGGTTCCTATGTGATTCTTGATTTTATACATGTATTTTCTATAGTCCAGAGCAACATAGGTAAGACAAATAAAATATGACAAAGACTATAGTCTTGGGGCCGGCGCTGTGGCACAGTGGGTTAACGCTCTGGCCTGAAGTGCCGACATCCCATATGGGCACCAGTTCACGACCCGGCTACTCCACTTCCGATCCAGCTCTCTGATATGGCCTGGGAAAGCAGTGGAGGATGGCCCAAGTCCTTGGGCCCCTTCACCCACATGGGAGGTCCGGAGGAGGCTCCTGGCTCTTGGCTTCAGATCAGCGCAGCTCCAGCCATTGCAGCCAACTGGGGAATGAACCATCAGATGGAGGATCTCTCTCTCTCTCTCTCTCTCTCTCCAATTGGGGAGTTAATCATCGGATGGACGATCTCTCTCTCTCTCTCTCTCTCTCTCTCTCTTTGCCTCTCCTCTCTGTGTAACTCTGACTTTCAAATAAATAAATAAAATCTTAAAAAAAAGACTATAGTCTATAAAACAAAGATATGACTTTTAAAATTTGTTCACACTCTTATACATTCCTCTTTTACCAAATTAACTCAAACTCACTGTATTAGCTGTATGAGTTTAAAACTTTCAAACTGGTTATCTCTGGATATCAGTATCAATTAGCTTTCAAAAAAAAAATTTTTTTTTTTACCTGATACTTTTTTATTCCACCTGCTTTGCTTGTAACATTAATGGTTATTTCTTCTTCTTCCTCCAGAAATTTCTGACAATATTCTGAGTCTTTCTCCAGTACAAAGCCTGTTTCTTCTATTATATCTTCAAGATGAAAAACCTGCACAGAGGAAGGCATGTTTTGTTGAGGGGATTATTACCTTTTGAATGTAATCAAATGCTAGTTTAGAATGAATATTAAGGAGGCTATTTTTAAAGTTTTAAATTGGGAATGAGGAACTTGGTAGATATAATGAGTCTATCCCTGAAGTCTCAGGACAGATTATGTTATCGTATATACTTTTTTATCTGAAGATGGTTAAAAGAGTGCACTGCATCAGGTGAACTAAAAAGGTAAGCACGCAGAACAGAATAGGCAGAGAGGAAGCTTGCAAGACAGTCCTTAATTTGAGGAATGGGTGAGAAAGGAATCCTTACTGCCAGACAGGCACTGTCAATCTGGATGTAATGACGTGGATGTGGGAGTCAAGTACCCTAGGACTGGACTGGACCTAGATGACAAGGACATAGCACCTGGGGAAATTCCCTGGTGGGAATGAGTTCCTGCTTTCACACACATTACAAAGAAAACTTACCTCAACGGGGTAACTTCTCCCTGAAATCCTCAGAATTGGGCAGTGTGTGAAATATGTAGAAAATTTTTCACTGTCCACGGTGGCACTCATTAGAATCAAGTGTAGATCAGAACGTTTCTGTAAAATCTCCTTCAAAATAACCAGCAGAAAGTCTGACTGGACACTTCTTTCATGCACCTGGCACAAACAGAATAAATTAATCACATATAAGGTCTAGGAAGAGATTAAACAAACAGGTACTCAAATCTGAAAGTTAACATGTAGGTACAGTCAGTACTTAGTATTTAAGTATAGTCCACAGCTGTATGTTTCAAGTAAGTTAGGAAACAGGGAACTGATTGACAGAAGTCTGACAGGATCTCTGTCCCTGCCCAGGAGAAGGGGTTTTATGCCTTTCCAAGACATGCATTTTAGGGAAGAGTATTATAAACCCAGTCTAGAGCACAGACTAGGTACACTGTCTGAACTTGACAAGTACCTACTGAATGTACCAGTCTACCAGCTCTCCGTACTGACTTATTCCCATTCCATTTTACTTTTTAGCATATTTAAGGTAGTATAAAAAGATAAGGTAACATCAAGATAACAAATTTAAGCTTTATTCATTTGCTTATAAGGGAGGCAGCAATGATTAAGTGTCTAGTGCCTGAGTTTAATTCTTGGGTTGGCCCCTTTACAGTATGATTTCAGGAAGATTATTTAAATATGCCTGGCTCAGGGCCAATATTGTGGAGCAGTGGACTAAGCTGCCACTTGGAACACCAGCATCCCATACTGGAGTGCCAGTTTGGTAAGTCCTTGCTGCTTTGCTTCCAATCTAGCTTCCTGCTGATGTGCCTAGGAAGACAGCAGAAGATGGCCCAAGTGCTTGGGCTCCTGTCACCCATGTAGAAGACTGAGACGGATTTTCTGTCTCCTGGCTTTGACTCGCCTGTTGAAGCCATTTGGGGAATGAACCAGTGGAGAGAAGAGCATGCTCTCTCTTTCAGGTAAATCAGTAAATAACTCTTTAAATATATAGAGAGAATTGGTGTGACCATCAAATGGGGTAATGTAAGGCTCTTAGAACCAAGCCTGAAAATTATAAGTACTCAGCATTGTACTAGATGCTGGGTATTAAAAAAAAACCCAGATAGTTTTCTTCATCTCAGAGTGTTCAGTCCAGTAAGAGGACACTGTACAGGATGATTTGAAATTACACATGAAGGGAGTAAATCCAAGTGGTCAGGAAGGCTACTAACAGTAATTGCCATTTATGTTGAGTACTTTAGGATAGGTTTGAACAAGAAAAAAGGAGGTAGAAACAAGATGGGAAAGCAAAAAGTATTCATGTTAAGGAACACAAGTGCACATAAAATCATGGTGGAAAGGGGGTTGTAATAGATTTCAGGACCTGGAAAAACAAAGACTCGAGCATTGGACAGGCAGAGAGAAAGCTGGATAAATCCTCAATAATCTGCCACAGAAGGTTTTGAAAAGCATGTTAAGGAGTTGAGACTTTATCCCAATGAGTTAGGGAGGACAGTGGTAAAAGCATTTTAAAGCAGGAGAATCATGTGGTGTAAGTTTTACTTTAAAAAGGCTAACTAGTTGGGGCCAGTGCTGTGGCAGAGTGGGTTAAGCTGCTGCGTATGGCGTCTGCAACCCATATGTGTGTCAGTACGAGTCCTGGCTCTTCCATTTCTGATCCATCTCTGCTAATGTGCCTGGGAAAGCAGTGGAGATGGCCCAAGTACTTGGACGCCTGCATCGATGTGGGAGACCCAGATAAAGCTCCCGGCTTTGGCCTGACCCAGCCCTGACATTGAGGCCATTTGGGGAGTGAACACGTGAATGGAAGACCTCTCTCTCACTGCCTCTGCCTTTACCTCTCTGTAACTCTTTCAAATCAATCAATCAATCAATCTTTAAGGTAAAAAAAAGGGCTAACTGGCTACAATACGGAGAATATGGTGGGGAAGAACAAAACAGAAGCAGGCAGTTTAATTTATCAGAGGCTTTGGTACTAATTAGAGATAACTGTATACAAGGGGAATACCAGTGGATACAAAGAAAAGTGAATGTGAGAAAGGCAGAATAAACAGGACTAGGTGATTGATGTAGGGGATATGGGAAAAAGAAGGAAAAATATTGATTGTTTTATTTTGTGGGATCATTCAGAGAGATTCAGAAAAGATGAGGAGGGGCAGGTGATAAGGCATAAGCAAGGAGTTTTAGAAATGTTGTGTTTGAAGTTATTTAGAAAGCAGCTGGATATTTAAGTCTGAAGCTCAGGCATGAGATCTCCTGAGAGCTGACAGCAATTTGGAAAACCTCATCAAACAGATGGTAATCTACATAGGGGCTGGCATATGGTGCAGCTGCTTGAGCTGCCACTTACAATGCTGGCATCCCAGCTACCCTGCTTCCAATCCAGCTTCCCGCTAATATACCTGGGCCCCTGTCACTCATGTAGGAATCCACAATGGAGTTCCTGGCTCCTGGTCCAGACCTGGCTGTTGTAGCCTTTTGTGGACTGGACCAGCTGATGGAAGATAACTCTTTGGACATTGTACCTTTCAAATAAGTAAATCTTTAAAAAAATAAATATGCTAATTTATATAGATAAGTATTCTTAAAAGTTGATCTGGTTTTTAAAATACAGTTCACTCTGATCTATGTAAAGACACTTCAAAAAGCTCACAAAAAGTGGTATTGAAAGGTAAATTTATTTTAGTGGGAAAAATTTTGAAATCCATGTATAGTTTTTCCAAAATACCTATTTCCCACAAACGTTTTGAACACCTCTCACATTTACCAAGCAATTTTCTGATAACAACTTGGAGTCCCAAGTCCCAACTTACTAAGTAGCTGATAGAAATATTTCCATATACCTAGCAGTAAACATTTTTCATTGTAAATAGATATGTTAGCATTTTGACTCATGTTGATGCTTGATGATGATAATAAATTCTAGGTCTTGGCCATGCAAAGCCACAACTGTGACACTCTCCCTCTATTGGCCCCTACTCCAGGAGTAGTTACCCATAGGCCTCCCTAAGCTGCCATTCACTCTTAGACATCTCAATGATAGCAGCACAGGTCCCTCCCCCATTAAGGAATAAAGATTCTCAGATGAAAACTCCTATCACTCATAAACTACCAAAATATTAACTAGGCTATTTTAAAATGGGCTTAATTGCCCAACAAGAGGAAAATGGTTAAAGAAATTATGAGATATTCAAATCACATACCACTATAAAGCTGTTTAAAACCATGTTTTTGTAGATAATTTAGTGTTGTGAAATAATTATAGATAAAATATACACAAAACAAACATACAAAGTAAATGCTAACTCTTTTTTTTGCTGTGTCATGAGATTATAATTTTTTTTTAAGATTTCTTTATTTGAAAGAGCTACAGTGAGGAGAAGGAAGAAAAGAGAGAGAGAGAGAGATTTTCCATTTCCTGGTGCATTCCCCAGAAGGCCACATGGGCCAGCTCTGGACCAGGCAGAAGCCTCATGATTGGCAGGGGTCCAAACACTTGGGCCATCTTCTGCTGCTTTTCCCAGGCCATTAGCAGGGAGCTGAATGCAAAACAGCCAGCACACCAACTGATGCCCATGTAGGATGCTGGCATCCCAGTGGCAGCTTTACCTGCTGAGCCACAGCACCAGCCCCAATATAACTGTTTATTTTCCTACCTTTCTATACTTCTAGTATTTTCTAACCAAAAGAAAGAAAATAATCCAATAAACTATAAGTAGTGTATTAATTAAAAATCAATGAATGGATGAACTTTCACTATAGTTCTCTGAACTTGGTGAATTAACAGTCATTCACAAAAACTTTACATCAGGGTAATTTTTAATATTTTCTGAATAATAAAAATGCAGTATCTTTTGAAAAGTTACAAACATGCAAATTAGTTTACAGAGTAGGCTAGTATGCCATTTAAAATAACTATAATGTGAAACTTGGCATAATTCAAGTGTGCATTTAAATTCGATTCAAGTGCAGGCATATCTATAGAGAAAATGACATGCTCATGAACATTTCTTATCTTTTCTAAGAACCACAGTAGATACACAATCCAGTATACTGGTCAGACTGCCTGCATTTGAACCCTAAGCTGCAGAACATCATTGGGTATGTGCACCTGGGCATATTATTATTATTATTTTTTTTGACAGGTAGAGATATAGGCAGTGAGAGAGAGAGACATAGAGAAAGGTCTTCCTTCTGTTGGTTCAGCCCCCAAATGGCCGCTATGGCCAGCGTTGTGCCAATCTGAAGCCAGGAGCAAGTTGCCTCCTCCTGGTCTCCCATGCGGGTAGAGGAGCCCAAGCACCTGGGCCATCCTCCTCTGCCCTCCCGGGCCACAGCAGAGAGCTGAACTGGAAGAGGAGCAACCAGGACTAGAACCTGGTGCCCATACGGGATGCCAGCACCGCAAGTGGAGGATTAACCAAGTGAGCCATGGCACCAGCCCTATGGGCAAATTATTTGTACCTCAAGTTTCTCAACTGTAAAATAAAGACAACAGCTACTTCAATGGGTTGCTGGAATGAGTAAATGAATTTATATATAAATATATGAAAATTTATATAAATATAAATGCCTAAAATCCTTTGAACAGTAATAAGCATATTGCAGATATTATAGAGTACTTATTAAGTAAATCAGTTAAAATGAGATACACTTATTGAAGGAAATTAATTATTTAAAAAGTATCTGCCATTTAGTAAGTATGAAGAAAATATTAGCTCGTGTTAGAGACAATAGTTTTTTAAAACAAAACCATTCACAATTTATATGAACAGAATTATAGAATCTACTCACTTCATCTACAATAACATGAGACACATTACTTAGAAGACCATCCTCTTGAAGTTTCCTTAGCAAAACCCCTGTTGTACAATAGAGTAACCTGGTAGATTCACTAGCTCGAGACTCCATCCGAATTTGATATCCGCACAAAGAATTCTGAAGGGAGAACACAAGGTCATGATTAGACTCTTCGCACAGTAATGTGAGAAACAAACTGTAAACAGTGACGCCCAGGCACTGATCATGCTCCTAAATGGAATGATCTAAGTTTACTTAGTATAACCTAGTAAATACTTTCTCATGTTCTTCAATTCCATAAAATTATAAACTCTGTTTTGGTAATTTTTTTTTGACAGGCAGAGTTAGACAGTGAGAGAGAGAGAGACAGAGAGAAAGGTCTTCTTTCTGTTGGTTCACCCCCCAGATGGCTGCCACGGCTGGCACACTGCGCCGATGCAAAGCCAGGAGCCAGGTGCTTCCCCTGGTCTCCCATGGGGTGCAGGGCCCAAGCACTTGGGCCAGCCTCCACTGCACTCCCGGGCCACAGCAGAGAGCTGGACTGGAAGAGGGGCAACCGGGACAGAATCCGGCGCCCCGTCTGGGACTAGAACCTGGGGTGCCGGCGTCGCAGGCAGAGGATTAGCCTAGTGAGCTGCGGCGCCGGCCTGTTTTGGTAATTTTAAACAGAAAAATCATTTTTTTAACAAGACAAAAACCTGTTGATGCTAAGACACAAATATCTTGCAGCAAAATATTAAGGTATTTAGGAATAGAATTTTAAAACAGGCTTTGTTATTTGGTCTACTTTTCTACCAAGAACTCATAAAACTTGCCACCATTAAAATGCAGTTGGTATCAAACCAGTGGTGCCCACTGGGAATTCTGGAAGTTACATTTATTCCTATCAGTTTCTTTCTTCTTGAGTCATTCCTTTGTCTTACTAGTATACATATCTGTCATCCCCATATCTCTCCTTTTATCCTCTTAAATTCCATGTCAGAAATCCAGATTTCTTGCTAAATAAGAAATTTTTAACTTGAGAGACAAAAATATTATTTTGTTTATTATCATTACCAGAACCATTCAAATTGTAAATAATCTGAATTAAATGAATTTGCAATTCATCATTTTTGGTTCTAACCAGTTTAATTCATTGGCCAGTTTTGTGTCCACCTGTGTGACAGATACATGACAACAGACATTTAAGAACTTTTTCCATTTAAAAAAACAAAGTTTGAAAGTAGTTTAACATTTATAACTATATTGCTTTCCTTTTCTGCTCTTTGCAGAGCATGAATGGAAATCTGAAAAGGCTTGAGATGATATTAAATAAATAAATCCATATTCTTTGAATGTTCCACTTAACGTAATATATTTGAATATTCAATGATTGACATTAATATATTTCTTCTTTTATATGAAAATTCTAATGACAGAATTACTGAAAACCCTTTTCCCATGAAAGATAGTGGCATTGTAACACATCCATTAAAGAAAACATGAAAAATGCCTGAAATGTGTTATTGAACACCAGTGACAGTCAAAACCAGTACATGGCACAGGTGCTGTTTTGGTGCCAAGAGCAAAGGTGAGTAATGTTGTGATTCACAGAGGTGGAGGTGAAGGACAGCTTACCCTTCCTCCAGGTCCATTTTCACAGCCCAATTCATCACACACTCTGGTGGCCAGACTCACTGCTGAGATTCTCCGGGGCTGGGTACAGATGATGTTACATTTACTTGTTCCCCACTCATTCAGAAGCAAGTCTTCCAACAGAAAATGTGGTACTTGAGTACTTTTACCACTGCCTGTTTCACCTGCCACAACTACTACTCGGTGCCTTTTAAGAGTTTCGACAATTGATTCCCGGTGTTTGAACACAGGTAACTGTTGTCTCTCCTTTAGAAGTCTCTGATATTTAGGTGAGCTTTGCAACTTTCTAAAGAGGTTTCTAACAGGTTCCAGATCTTCTGCAACTGCTGATTCCAAGGACAGGGCAGAAAAATCCTCCTCAGAAACTAAGTTTTCCCAAGATTCCTCAGGGTCTTCAGAGTTTTCCTTCTTATTTTCAGAATGCTGCTGCTGCAGCTGCTGCTGCTGTTTCAGCTTGTTCAGAAGTTTGGCAATAAAAAGATCACGTGGTTTATTGGTTTCCATTTTATTTAATTCTTCTTTTTTCTTTTCTGCATCACTCCATTCTAGCCAAACATCTCGGTAAGTGGGAGGAAGTAACTGATGAACAGACTACAGAAGATAAGAACAGCAGTACATTACTTTTATTAACTATTGGAATTGACATTCAGTAGATTAGAAGGATAGCTATACGCCTCTTAAAATGTAATTCAACTTTTTTTTTTTTTTTTTTTTTTTTTTTAAGACAGGCAGAGTTAGACAGTGAGAGAGAGAGAGAGAAAGGTCTTCCTTTTTCCGTTGGTCCACCCCCAAAGTGGCCGCTATGGCTGGTGTGTTGCGGCCAGCGCGCTTCCTCCTGGTCTCCCATGTGGGTGCAGGGCCCAAGGACCTGGGCCATCCTCCACTGCACTCCTGGACCACAGCAGAGAGCTGGACTGGAAGAGGAGCAACCGGGACAGAATCTGGCGCCCCAAGCAGGACTAGAACCTGGGGTGCTAGTGTCGCAGGCGGAGGATTAGCCTAGTGAGCCACGGCGCTGGCCGTAATTCAACTCTTCAACTAGTAAATCATTAATTCATATTTTTTATGTTCATTTCTTTTCATGTACTTGAAAGGAAGAGTGGCAGAGAAATTGGCAGGGGGTGAGCAGGCATGGAGGGTCCTGGGCCTACTGACGCCAGGAGCCCAGAACTCTATCCAGGTCTACTACGTGGGTGGCAGGGGCCCAAGAACTTCAGCCATCAGCCACCATCTCCCAGGATGCATTAGCTGGATGCTGCATTGGAAGTGGAGCATCTGGAACACAACCAGCACTCTGACATGGGATGCAGGTGTCCCAAGTGGCAGCTTAACCTACCATACCACAATGTTCACCCAGTTATTACTTTAATACAATATATAAATGCATGTGATGCAAATTCATAAACAGCACATCACATTTAGGCTTTGTGACTTCAGTGAACAACTTAACTTTAAAATGGGGCTAACAATAGTACCTCCCTTATTGACATACTCTGAGGTTAACTTTAAGTTAATATATGCAAAGTGTGCATTCCTGGAAAACGGTGAACTACTGAATAAATGTTTATTATTTATTCCTGCAGTGGTACAAAATGTACACAGATGGTATCTTATTTCTAAAATGCACAAAGGTCCTTTGAGATTCTAGTAATTGTATAATGTTACAGGCCAAAGTATTTTAAATGAACCACACTGGATGGAATCTAAGTTATCTTAACTCAGTGCTGTAAGAGGACCCACTGGCATTGATAGTTATTTTTACCAAGTAAACACAGTCTTAATACCTTAATTTGCAAAATGGGGGAAAAGACATTAAGAAATTTTACTGATTTCACTCTATGAAAAAATAAATTTTACTGGGAAAAATTGGAAAAGAACTATTGTTTGGAGTTCTATTTAATGTCTTAACTTTTCAGTGTGATTAACTGCACATAACCCTTAAGCCTCTGCTTCTAACCTAAATTAGTACAAAACTAAGACATTATCTTGGAAAACTAAAATTGAATTTGACATTTTTTATTTAAGGCTGTAAAAACAAGCAAACAGTAACACAAAATTTGAAATAGGCTCAACAAATGATGTAAATTCATCCTTTCCAGGAAAGCAGAAGGTAGACCCTAACAATAAGAAAATATGCTTAATTATTGAATAATGGAGGTTACATTTAAAAGTACTGTTAAATACCAGCCTAACTTTTAAAAATTTTAGGTTTGGTTGACCTCCATGTAGGCAACCAATAACCATTTTGAGTTAGAGGTCTTTGTTAAAATTTATATGCCACCTAAAAATAGAAAAACTCATTAAAATCTAGCAGCTACCAGTTGTACTACAACTATTTTTAATTTGTAAATTAATATAGCCCCCCAAATTGGATGAATCAAATTGTCTCTTTCAGACCTCTGAGGGTTTAAAGAGATAAAGATCATATTTAGGGGTAAAAGGAAGCGAAATTACAAATAATCAGAAATGAAGATTAAGCAGAAGCGGGAATTAGTAAGCAGAAGATTGGCATGGAGGGCCATAATTAAGCACTACCTTCTACAAGCACAGCTCTCTCTCCACAAAATATATTATACCCATTACTTAACAAAGGCGTTTTGAACTGCCTAGGCCTAAGAAGTCTCACCTGCCCTTTCACTAAACGATACAGGGCCAAGGTGGCTCCCAGGTGCTGGGCTTGCATGCCGTCCTCGGTTAGGATTGCAGGACATACTACCAGGACGTCATCTTCAGACTTGATTACTCTGACCCTACAAGGAAGCAAAAGCATCTTTTTTTCTTAATGAAATCAAGTGAAAAGAAGCTGGGATGCCATTAGCATTCTACTTAAGTTTATACTAGCTATTTATAAATATTTTCATGAAAGGCATTATATTAGATAATGATTTATAAACATTCTACTATGAGATATAGAATGAGAGAGCTTCTTAAATGTGAACTTAACTGATAGGAAACAAAATGATTTTCATCTTACATTTTTCTAAAAGTTCAGTTAATCGGAAAAACATACCTACATTTCCAGTATCTACCTACTGGAACTTTTTCAAACGAAGGATTTGGACTCTTTGGAAGATTCTTCCTGACCCAATCAATCAGGAATTGTTTGGGAGATTTTCCAGTCCAGCTTCGAGCAGTGTAGTCAAAGTTTCTCACATCATGAGGTTCTTTCTTTTTATCTACAGTGGCAAAGATCAGTTCTTTTAAGTGTTATGCAATAATGTAAATTTTCTTTTTTGGTGATCAAGTCTCTTGCTTTTTGGGAACAGCACTTTTAGGAGAATGGCTGAAGAAAGGATAGAAAAGCTTGCCTTTCTGTAATGATGTAGGGAAATCCTCTTAATGAACAGAATCATGGAAAATTCTGAGGTTAACAAATTTATCTTGAGGAACTTAGATATTCTTGTAAATTAGCTTTGAAACTATAAAATGAATCTAGGATACTCTGAATTATTATTTGTAAATTATACCACTTAATTAATTATACCACTTTAATTTTACCTTTTTCTTCTTCAGTAGGAGCTGCAGATTTTTCAAATAAATTAAAGTTCAAAGAACTTTCTCCTTCAGTGGCTACAGGAGGCTTTTTCCTTTCATTTTGTTGATATGAAATCTTTATTGCTGGATTGAATACAGGATGGTCTTCTAAAGTCTCCATTTCTACCAAGAAGAAAATATGTTTTTCTTTTGAAAATTTCTTTTTATTTATTTGAGAGGCGCAGCGAGAGAGAGAGACTCTTCCCATCTGCTGGTTCACTCCCCACATGCCCACAAGCTAGGGGCTGGGCCAAGGCTGGTGAGTGGAAACACAGTCCAGGAACCCAAGCACTTGAGTCATCCCTGCTGTCTCCCAGGGCCTGCTCTGCAGACAGCTAAAATTGGGAGCTGGAGCTGGAATCAAATCCAGGACTCCATGATGCAGACATCTTCACTCACATCTTAACTGCTAGGCTACATGTTTCTCACAAAAAAAGTTGTTTTTTTTTTTTTTTTAAAGATTTATTTATTTATTTGAGAGGCAGAGTGAGAGTGAGAGAAAGAGGGACAGAAAGGTCTTCCATCTGCTGGTTCACTCCCCTAATTGCCACAATAGCCAGAGCTGGTCTAATCTGGAGCCAGTAGCCAGGAACTTCCTCCAGGTCTCCCACTAAAATGCAGGGGCCCAAGCACTTGGGCCATCTTCCACTGCTTTCCCAGGCCACTAAACAGGGAGCTGGATGAGAAGTTGAGAAGCTGGGACTGCAAGCAGAGGCTTAACCTACTTCACTGCAGCACTGGCCCTAAAAAACAGATGCTTAGTTTCATGTATCTGGGTTTTAATGCCTTTTTATTTTGAAAAAATGTTTCTAGAAACAGTTAACCATTCCTTTACTTTCCTTGTAGTCAATTATTTAATAATTCCTACTAAGAATGTGTGCTAGAAGTCAGAGGCAATCCTACAACATGTACTAAAATCTTTTTTTTTTTTTTTAAGATTTATTATTTGAAAGTCAGAGTTACATAGAGAGAGGAGAGGCAGAGAGAAAGAGAGAGAGAGAGGTCTTCTGTTCAATGGTTCACTCCCCAGATGGCCACAACGGCTGGAGCTGCGCCAATCCGAAGCCAGGAGCCAGGAGCTTCTTCCCAGTCTCCCACATGGGTGTGCAGGGGCCCAAGGACTTGGGCCATCTTCTATTGCTTTCCTGGGCCATAGCAGAGAGCTTGACAGGAAGTGGAGCAGCCAGGTCTCGAACCGGCACCCATATGGGATGCCGGCACTTTAGGCTAGGGTGTTAACCTACTGCACCACAGCACAGGCCCTTGTACTAAAATCTTTAAAATAAATTATTTAATAGATGTAGTAGGCCTATAGAAAACATCTTTACCAGAAATAAATACTCACGGAATTGTGTTCACCTCTTTTTCTTGAATGGAGATGGTATTTTATGACAGAAACCAAAGATTAGGGGCCAGTGCTGTGGTGCAGGGGGTTAATGCCATGGCCTGAAGCGCCGGCATCCCATATGGGTACCGGTTCTAGTCCCAGCTGCTCCTCTTCCAATCCAGCTCTCTGCTATAGCCTGTTTCCCAGAGATTAGCAAACTGTGGACTGCAGGCCAAGTCAAGTTATTTTTGTCTGGCTTGCCAGCTAGAATGGCTTTTACATTTTCAAGTGGTTAAAAAAATAAAGAGAATAAAAAGAGAACATGAGAAAGTTATCTGAAATTTATAGTTCAGTGTCTATAAATAAAGTGTGATAGGAACAGAGCCCTTCATTTTTTTATTATCAATTGCTACTTTCATGCAGTAACAGCAGTGTTGAAAAGTGGTGACAGAGGGCCGGCACCATGGTGCAGTAGGTTAATCCTCCGCCTGCGGCACTGGCATCCCATATGGGTGCCAGTTCTAGTCCTGTCTGCTCCTCTTCCCATCCAGCTCTCTGCTATAGCCTGGGAAAGCAGTGGAGGATGGCCCAAATGCTTGGGCCCTTGCACCTGCATGGGAGACCTGGAAGAAGCTCCTGACTCCTGGCTTCAGATCAGCGCAGCTCCGGCTGTTGCGGCCATTTGGGAAGTGAACCAACGGAGGGAAGACTTTTCTGTCTCTTTCTCTCACTGTAACTCTACCTCTCAAATAAGCAAATAAAATCTTAAAGAAAAAAAAAGTGGTGACAAGAGTATGCAGTGGTGAAGTCCACAATATTTACTGTCTAGCTCTGTAGAGGAAATACGGCCATAGCCAGAGACAAAGACAGAAGAGCGGGCCCCCTGCTCCCAACACAAACCTTGAAAAGTGGCTGCTCCCAATTAACCAGTGAGGCAGCTCCCACTGTTACCGAGTCCAGGTTGGGAAGATGTCCTAAGTTCTGCTTCTGTAACTCCAGACATAACCCTGCCCTATAGTCTTCCCCTGGTATCTCTTTTATAAACATGCCGGGGCCGGCGCCGCGGTTCACTAGGCTAATCCTTCGCCTTGCGGCACCGGCACACCGGGTTCTAGTTCCAGTTGCCCCTCTTCCAGGCCAGCTCTCTGCTGTGGCCCGGGAAGGCAGTGGAGGATGGCCCAAGTACTTGGGCCCTGCACCCCATGGGAGACCAGGAGAAGTACCTGGCTCCTGCCATCGGATCAGCGCGGTGTGCCGGCCACAGTGTGCCGGCCGTGGCGACCACTGGAGGGTGAACCAACGGCAAAGGAAGACCTTTCTCTCTGTCTCTCTCTCTCACTGTCCACTCTGCCTGTCAAAAAAATAAAAAAATAAAAAAAAATAAAATAAACATGCCGGACCCACTGGCCATGGGAAGTGCGGTCCTAAGTCACATAGGCTGCAATCTGAACCCACCAGTGCTGTTACAGTTAAGATCTGACGCTGATGAACCTATAAGCAGTGTAAGAAACTCAGGATTGTTGCTCAGTTCTCAGGAAGAGATTCCAGCTGAGCCCGCTGGTGTGCATAAACTGCCAGGATCCTCCACTGTCTCTGGTGCCTGTTTGAATGAAGGGAGTTTTCCAACTCCAGGTTTCTGTAACAGCTTATTACAGATAAGTTTGCCAACCCCAGGCATAAACTGTTAGCAAACAGCACACCCATAAAAAGGCATCCTCCATCCTAGGAAGGCTGACAGAGACAAGACAATTACATTTACACACAGGAGAATCTGGATGTGTTTACCTCTTTGAAATTTCCTTATCTTTTCTTGAGCCTCTTTTTGGCCTTGCTTGTTTTTTTCTAGTTTAAAGGCAGCTGCTTGTTCCTTCGCATCCAGAAATTTCGCTGCAAGGTGCAAGTACCTTTCATTCTGTTTCAAGTAAGTCAATGAAGTGGAAATAAAAAGAAGAGCTAAGATTAATTTATCAATGGTCAATATATTCTCTCAAAACCTGGGATTTTTGACCTTATTCTTTGAGTCAGCAAATTCACTTTTAGCAATTTTTTATAGGAAATAAAGCAAATGCAGAGATTGTGAGGCACATAAATGTTTATTGAAGTGCTGATGGTAAAAAGAAAAACTGGAAATCATATCTAATATATCTCTGCAGAGAAAACTATTCAATTGCTAGAAAAAGTATGAGATAGCAAAAGAAAAAATATAATCCACATGGAGAAACTTTCTTGACCCATTAAATAAAACAAAGCAAACTTCAGAATAAAAGTAAGTACGAGGGACTGGTATAGTCGTGCAGCAAGTTAAGTCACAGCGTACAATGTGGGCATCCCATATCGGAATGCCAGTTTGAGTGTTGGTTGCTCCATTTCCTATCAAGTTTCCCACTAATGTGCAGTGGAAGATGGCAGTGGAAGATGGCTCAAAGAGTACTGCGTCCCTGCCACCCATGTGGGGAACCCAAACGGAATTCTGGGCTGCTGACTACAGCCTGGCCCAGACCTGGCTGCTGTGGCAATTTAGGGAGTGAACCAATAGATGGAAGATCTCTCTTATCTTTTGCTCTGCCTTTCAAATAAATAAATCTTTAAAAAGAAAAAATGAGTTCATTTCTGTAAAAATTATTATATAAATATGTGCATTTAGAGGATTGTGTATGTAACAATACGCATCTGAAAGCTGCCTTTCCGTAATCTGGATTTTATGGACAACAGTCAGATACATTAAATAAAAATGGCACCTAGGAAACATGGATGTTCCAGAAATGGAGGACATAACTACTGAGCAAAAACTAGGAAGAGTTTTCTTTTTTAAAAGATTTATTTATTTGAAAGTCAGAGTTATAGAAAGAAGGGGAGTCAGAGATCTTCCATCCACTGGTTCACTCACCAAACTGCTATAATGGCTGGTGGTGGGACCAGGCCGAAGCCAGGAGCCAGGAGCTTCTTCCTGGTCTCCCACATGGGTGCAGGGACCCAAGCGCTTGGGCTATCCTTTACTGCTTTCCCAGGCCCATTAGCAGGGAGCTGGATCGGAAGTGGAGCAGCAGGGACCTGAACTGGCACCCATAAGGGATGCTGGCATTGCAGGCGGTAGGTTGACCTGCTGTGCCACAGCACTGGCCCCAGTAGGAAGCTTCCAGGTAAACAAACTAGTTGTGGCAGCAGAGTAGAAGCATACAGGCATGGGGTAGAGAAGAGGATGGCATGAGTGGCGCTGCTATGAAACACAACTGTTGAAAGCAAGGGAAGAGACAACTGAGCAAGCACAACTAGATGAATTCCGGGACCACACTGTGTAGAAGTGTAGATGGGAGGTTTAGGTATCTCCTTAAATTTGTCCAAATCACACTCACCCTTTCCTCTCTATACTATATATGGCACTCACACCACCATCCCTCCACCTATGCTTCCCTTGCCATCTTTGGCTCCTCAGCCCATTTTCCCCACAACGTTTACCATGTTAACCAATATTAAATGTACTGTTCAGTGGTTTGTACAACCATCATCACCACTATCCATCTCTAAAACTCTTTCCATCTGGCAAAGCTAAAACTCATAAAACAGAAACTCCCCACAAACCTCTCCCCACCGTCAGCCTCTGACAACCATTATTCTTTTTTTGCAAGTATTACCGAAAGAATTTAGCATACTCCTTACACTTAGGGTCTTCAGATGGTTATCTTCTTAAGCATGGGAGAAATGTAATTGACATCTATGAAGAGGTTACTTTATGCCAAAATTTTAAGTAAGTGTTAGTCTGTTTAATTTTTACAGCAACTCCTAGAGATATTTCTCTAATTTATAAATAAGGAAAGTAGGCTCAGAAAAGTACAGTATTTTGCCCAGGAATATCTAATTATAGGCCTACTACAGATTTCTACTCACAGGGTCAAATTTTTCTTCCTCTTCTAAACTTTTAGAACTTTCACTCTTTTCTTCTTCTTTTTGTCGTTCAGCATACTGCAAAATCCACTCCTTCATATTTACTTCCATATTCTTGTCTTCCTTTTTTGGCTACAAAGAGAAAACAAATGTTTGAAATACCAAAGTTAGAAAAAGATGTCTTAACTATCAATGTCACTGCTTTTACAATTTCTTCACATTCACAAACAGCAAACACAAAAGCCTTAAAATCATATTCTTTATTGTTCAGAGAAGGATGAATGAATTGAACTCAACATTAATTTAAGAAGTCTAAACCTACAGAATCCAAACTATGTTAACATAAATAGATAAAACAGAATTAAAAGAGAACTACTAAAAACTTGTGTTATTTCTTGAAAACAGTGCTTTTATTAGGAGGATATTTCCAAAAATGTTTTATAATACACAGAGTATACCTAATGTCCACAGACCTTGGGTATGGCCATGTGAACTGATTCAACCGATGGGACATTAGCAAGAGGGACAAAACAGGAGTTTGGTAAGAATCTTTACACTGTGTTTTATCATTTTGAAATATCTGCTCTTGGAAGCCAGATGCTTTGTAGGAAATCTGACCAGCTGGAGACTACCACACAGTTGAGGAAACCCAAGTTAGTTATGTGGTAAGACCATGTGGAGGGAGAGAAGTGTGAGGGATGCTTGGCTGGCCTCCAGCTGAGGAACTAGTCATTCTATTAAAGATGCCACTGTGGATGTCCCAGCTTTAATAGATATCTCTTGGAATGGAAAAACCAGCCAGCTGAGCACAGCCTAGACTGCAGAAGAATGAGGAAAAAGAACTAGTTGGCTTACACTACTACATTTTGGGGTGGCTTGTCATGCAACAATAGATAACTGAAAAAGTGATAGAAAAGCCTGGCAAACCCATCAGTTATATGTAAGAACTGAAAATGTTTCAGAAACAGGAATTGTACTCATAAACTGTTACATGTGCTTCATTCTGATTTTATGTAACTTCCAATGCTTACTTCTAAATTACCTTAATCTTAGGGTCTTCTTCCTGTTTTTTGATTTTAGGTTGCAATGGAGGTGAAATAGTGGCTTGTATTTGAGGAGCCTGAAATTTTGGCCTACTTTTAGCTTGCTGCTCTTCAAATTCCTGACTGAATCCTTCAGGAAGTGCATCTTAAAATAAAATAGACTGTGTTGAAAATAAGGATGCATATGATACATACGACACATAAATATTTGTTAAGCATATACATATATCCAGCATAGGCTTATAGCAAATAATTTTCTTCTAACTCTCATCTCCTGGGAAATCCTGTGATGAACCTGGTTTTACTTGTTGAACTAGAAGTAGACACATTCATCAGATGATAGCTAGCCCACTTCTACCTGGCCATTTATTTCATGCTCACCACGATAAACTCCTAAATTTTCAAAAAAAGATCTTAACCTTTCTCACTATTTGGGTGTCATGTCCTTAATCAGCTACTAAAATGACTTGCACTCCAGGTTCTTGTCACAGATTATGACCATGATCCTCTGTGTAATTACATACTATTCATTATATATTATTTATTCAAGGACAGCCCTAATATTTAAATCAAAACCCAATAGGGTTACAGTGAGGCAAAATTTGAGACTGTTACTTTAACTGCATTGTAAAATGACCACCAAAAACTGAAAGTGGCACACAAAATTTTTTTCTTGCATATATCACAACCTCTAAGAATATACTGAAAAAAAGAGAAAGAGAACACTTTAAAAGTGAATATAACAGTGAAAAATTTTAAGTACAAGTCAAAAGGTTAAGATAAATACTGGTACTATTACAAAAGGTTTTAAACAAAGAATTAAAGGTCAATATTATTTACCATCTGAAAGATTTAAACAGAGCCAATCCAAGGCAGAATGAAGATCACCTCCATGTAAAAGTGTATTGGTCATTGCATCTTCAATGTCTTTAGTCTTAAATGAAAATGCTTGTAAAGCCATGTATAAATCCTATAAAAGGAAAATGTAAAAAAAAGTCACATTTGTTAATTTTCTCTTCTTTCATTGCTAATTTTTTCTCATTCATTTTAAACCAGAAATTCTAATATAATTTTAGTTTCAAAAAATGCTTTCAGTAGTTAACAAATATGCTCTTTATATTGATAATCTGGGAATGACAGATAATATTTTAAACAAAAAAGACGAGGAGAAATTGCTTATATTCTCATTCAGCAAAAATATTACTATAGTGTGGTATGTTTCCATTAATTTTTCTATGATTTTTGTAAAAACAAATTTCACTTAACATTTTAACATAAGCATCTTCCCATATTTTAAGAAACTCTTCATCATTTAATAGTTATACAATGTTCAATTAAATAGACACATCATAATTTAACATTTTCATGTGGCTAGACACTTAGGATATTTTCTTTTAAAAATAACAGTGTTTCAATGAACATCTTTATACATAAAGATAAAGCAACTTAGTTACTTTCTAAAGCACAATTTTTAGAGTTGTGTTCAAATTGAGCCGGCATACTGTTACTTACTCATTCATAACCTGAGGCTCCAACCTGCTGTCATCTTTCCAAGATTCAATTTTCATTTGAAAAAACAAGACCAAATACATCCAGCAAAGTGCCCAGCACAGAGTCTAACATAGTAGGTATTCACTAAGATAATTTTGAGGCTGTTATTTTGTTCTCTTATTTTAATGTATGCATTTGTTTTATTCCCTCTCTCATCTTGCAGATGGAAACCATCTACATAAACTTTCCAGGGAAGTAGGAAAAAATGTGTGTGTGTTTGTTTTATTTATTTATTTACTTAAAATGCAGAGCTACAGAGACAGAGGGAGAGACAGAAAGAGAGAGATCTTCCATCCATGGGTTCATCCCACAAATGGCTGCAATGGCCAGGACTGGGTCAGGAGCTAGAAGCTTCATGTAGGTCATTTCCTGCTGCTTTCCCAGGTACATTAGTAAGGAGGTGGATAGGAAATGGAGCAGCCAGGAATTGAACCCATATGTGATGCTGGCATTGCAAATGGCGGCTTAACTGCTCTGCCATAATGCTGGCCTCAAAAGTATTTTTATCTTACATGTGAAGCTTATAAATGACCCACTAAAAGGAACTTCTAAAAAGTTTGCTAAATACCTGTAATTTTTTGGCAGTCAGTCTTCCAGAAATCATTCCCTTGTCATTATTTTGCTTTTTATGTTCGTTGATTACTCCAATAATTCTTTGCTCTAGTTTGTTATTAATTACCACCTGTTGAAGCCAAAACAGAAATATCAATTAGAAACTAAGTTATTAAAAAATCAGAAGGAAATCATATAGTTTTCTAGATTCCTAACAACCAACCCCAAAATTTTAGCTAAAATCAGATACAGCTTTCATTTTTTGGACTAGTGTTCCTTTGACTATATGCCTAACACATACTTAAGAAAAAAAATAAGATATAGAAATCAACAAGACTACACTTAGCAAGAAGAAAATTCTTTTATAAGGCCTCTTGAGGCCAATGTTTCAAGACATTGTTCTGGGACTACCCTTACATTGCTATGATATAGATTCCATAGCCCTATCCTAAACATTACAAATCAGAATCATTGAGGATGAAGTACAGAAATATGCCTTAAGGTAAACCAGTCCAAACACTTAGTCTGATAAAATAAAAAAGGAATAGATGATGTAAAGGTCTTTTGGTCCCCAGAGTTTGATTCTTATTTTTCCCTCCTAGCTATTTTACCTTTCATTTATCTCACATTTTTAACCTAAGACTACACAACATCTATCTGTAAAAATCTTTCCTTTATTGCTTTTTTCTTTTTAAAAGATTTTATTTATTTCTTTGAGAGGTAAAGTTACAGACAGAGAGAGGGAGAGACAGAGAGAAAGGTCCTCCATCTGCTGCTTCACTCTCCAAATGGCCCAAATGGCTGGAGCTGGATCGATCCAAAGCCAGGAGTCAGAAACTTCTTCCAGGTCTCCCACATGCGTGCAGGGGCCCAAGCACTTGGGCCATCTTCTACTGCTTTCCCAGGCCATAGTAGAGAGCTGATTGGAAGAGGGGCAGCCAGGACATGAACCAGCACTCATATGGGATGCTGGCACCACAGGCAGAGGCTTAGTCTACTATGCCATAGCATTGGCTCTATCACTTCTTACTGAATGTCTACTATGCAAAAAGCATAAAAATATACTTCAGAAATTCAGTTTGGCCCAGCAAACATCATAGAGAGACAAATTATAACCCCGCATAACAAGTCTTTAAAAAGATACATTAAGGGGGGGATGACGTGGTGTAGTGGGTAAAGCCCCTGCCTGCAATGCTAGAATCCCATATGGGCACTGGTTCAAGATCCGGCTGTTCCACTTCCGATGCAGGTCTCTGCTATGGCCTGGGAAAGCAGTAGAAGATGGCCCAAGTCCTTGGGCCTCTGTACCCGCATGGGAGACCCAGAAGACGCTCTAAGCTCCTGGCTTCAGATTGGCGCAGCTCCAGCTGTTGCGGCCAATTGGAGAGTTAACCAGCAGATGGAAGACCTCTCTCTCTGCCTCTCCTTCTCTCTCTGTGTAATTCTGACTTTCAAATAAATAAATACAGCTTAAAAAAAAAAAAGATACATTAAGTGCTAATAGACCCACCAAGAAAAATCAACCTGGTAAGTTATAAAGGACTTCTGCATTCTAGGCTGAGAATATATGGGCGAAAATTGGAGTCATAAAACCATACAGGATTTGAGAAAAGTGATGTCTCATGAACTAAAATTAAAGTGAAGAGTGATACAGAGTAGGTTGGAAAGGTATTCTAAGTCAGACCCAAAAGGATATATTCACCTAATGGAGACCAAAATTTCTTACAGGCTCTCATCATCTGTGTTATTTACTTTTATTTATTACAGATTAGCTCTTAAGAGTATTATTTGCAAAAATTTATAATAATTAAATTTTTATATTTAAAGATACATCAGGTTTTTGAAGAAAAAAAAGAACACCTATTGAAATGACTCAAAACCTTGGTTACTTACTTTCAAAATAGATTTATCCACATTTGCAGGGCCACCAGAGTCATTTGCAGAATTAAAACTATAAATTTTTGGACCTATATATAATAGAAAACAAAGAGTCAAGGCAATTTAATGGGTAATATTCATTATGTTATTTTAATTTCTCCCAAAGATAGTTAAATATTTTAGTTTTGTTCATTTCTCCACATTTAACCAAGTAATTCAATCTAGTAGTTAGTGATACCCCTTTTTTAATTTTTTAGAACATTTTATCCATTAGCTTTCTCCTAGGTTAACCAGTTTCTCGTAAAATGCAAATGTCTGTCTCTTTTACATTAAATCTGTCTTCATATTTTTAATTAGATGCTTTTCTTCCTGGCACTTAGCTGGGAATGTTAGATTGCTAGCAGCGAAGACGGGACATCTGAAGAGAAAGCACTCCTTCTCAAGGAAGGATGCTGGTAGAAAGGGAGGCAGGAGTTCCTGCTGTCTTTTCTTCTGAGAAGCAAGTCCAAGATCCTGGTAGTAGCATTCTAGTGCTGCCAAAATTAAAGACTACAAACTTGATGGTTGAACAGTATATGAATTTACTCTCTCAAATTCTGGAAGCTACAAGTTTAAAGCCAGAAGGGAAAATTAGTTTAGGGAAAGAGGGAGGTTAGTATTAGCAATGTTAAATTTGAGATGCTTGCCAAAACATGGCCAAATAGTCCAAGCAAATGTAGAAACAGCTGCCTTGAGTTTAAAAGTGCAACCAAGATATGACACATTGGTTTACAAAGGAAAAGATACAAGTAATGGAAACAGATGTACTCTCCTGGAAGGGGTATGGGAGGGAACTACACTGTCAAGAACTGCCATCCTGGGAGAGGTTGGCATCTGGGGACTAGAGGCCTAAGAACCTGATGATACAACAAATGACTATCAGAGAGGTCCAAAAATGTGGGCACCTATCAGCAAAAGACAAAGCGAAAGTTAAAAATAAGCCTAGTCCAGAGTAGATGGGAGACATTCTGTGTATTTCTCATCATAACTAGATACAGATTACAATAAATTGCAGGGTCAAGAACTGGTAGCCACCTTCTACCTGAAGATCTGCTATCTGCCTGCTTTTCCAGTCTATCTTCCTACCCTATGCTTACTCTGCGAATTCTTCCAGAACCCCAGGTTCTTTCCCAAGATCTTCGCACAAGGCGGTCATTACCTCCGCTGGAATACTAACTCCTTTTCCATCTCCATCTTAGTTTGTCACTTCTTTAGAGACCACCCGAGATTCTTGCTGCCCCCAGTAATAGATTACCCTGTTTAAAAACTCTCAGGCTTGTCTTCGTAGCACTTATCGTTATAAAGCTATATGTCCACACGGTTAATGCCTATCTCTGCCACGAGACTGGCAAGTTCCATGAAAGGTGATGTCTCTACAGTATTTCACTCATCTCATTCCCAACACCATGTCAGATATACGGTGTTCATATATACACAGATGCCCAAGAAATATTCGTTCAACGAGTATTCCAAGAAGAGCTACAAGCCGAGTGGCCTGCTGATCTGCAGCAGGAACTGGCCAGCTCCAAAGATGAGCTCTCAAACCAATCTGCAAGTCAAGCAAAAATTCATGGCTGCGGAAAAGAAAAGCAGTTTTATCATAGGTCACACCCGTGCTCACTGTGTATGGAAGTGACTGCCATTCTTATGATTGATTTTTCCAGAACACTTGGTGACACCACATCGCTGCTGAAAGCGATACGAAGAGCAGGTAGAAAACGGGAGGTTAGGACGGAACTCCACTCGGTACCAGTCTCTGCGGAGCCTAGCTAGCCGAGGATGACGGCCGCGGACGGCTCCCTGCCGACACAGGGGCGAATGCATTTACTTTGTTCTTGGAAGAAGGAAAAGTGGGCAACAGAAGGGAGACGCCAGGCAGCTACAACCCTACAGTCGGGAACCGTGGGGGCTCTCACAGCTTAGACTGATCTAAAATAAGGCCACCCCTTGGAGAGCCAGCAGGTGTGATACAGATTTGGGAGCCCGAGAATCCGCCCAGGCTGGAAGCCTCCTTCCCAGGCACAGGCAGCAGAGAGTCTTCGGGTTGACAGGCAGGGGCTAGCGATCCTTCGTACCTTGTTTGACTCGGGGCTCCCTGGCGCCGGCAGCGGCGGCGGGAGGTGGCCTGGCCACCGGCTTCTTGCTCTGGGCCTCGCCGGCTGCTGCGGCCTCGGCGGATTTGGCCCTGGAAGCGGACACGGCAGCCCGGACTGCTGCGGCCCCGGGTGCCTTGTGTTTCTTGTTCTTGCCGCCCATGCTGTAGCAGTGGCAGAAGATTCCTCCCGGCCCAGTGACCTCAGGCGACACCGCACAGCCCTGGAGAGTTCTTCACATTCCACTGCTCGTGCTCCGCCACCTAGCCTCCCCCATCCGGGCTTCTCCGGTCTCGGCGACCGCTGCCACGCGATTGGTCCGATTCACCGGGATCCGCCTTCTTGCCCTTCCCCCTCCCGGTACCTGCCGGGGGTCGGGGACCAATTGTGGCTGACTGTCGTCCCTCTGTAGCCTCGAGCTGTTTACCCTTAGTGGTCTGAAAGGGAGAGGAAGAACAAAAAGAGAATGAATCTGGGAAGAACTTCCGTCGGCTGCGCGACTCGATTACTTTTGTCCCCTGCGGGCCACTGTTGAGCCTTCCTTGGACGTCACGCTCCGTGCGGTTGCAAGGCATCGTGGGTAGAGGGAAGATTGGGTCTTGCGGTTCTGAAAGATGGCGGACGCGTTCGGGGATGAGCTCTTCAGCGTGTTCGAGGATGACTCGACCACTGCGTCCGGAACCAAGAAAGACAAGGAGAAGGGGAAATGGAAGGGTCCGCCAGGGTCTGCGGACAAGGCCGGGTAAGGAATACGTCATACGTTTTTATTTTTTCTGTCGGTATTGAGGGTTGAAAACACGATTCCTCTCGGTGATGAGGGCAGGAAACAAGACCCCTGTAAAGAGCACGAGAAAGTGGGGCGTAAATTGAGGGGCATGGGGGAAGCGAAGGGACTTGAGAAAGAGGTCGGGGAGAGAGGGAGAATGCTGGTTTGGGGAAGCCGGGTCGTGGCGTTCTTGGTATCCGCAGGCTGCAGGAACTCCCGCCGCTCCCTTCCCCTCTTCCGTTACCCTGAGCCTACCCCTGTCTTCGCGGTGGGGTCGTGAGGGCAGGTGGGGGCACCCCCCAGGTTCTGCACCTGCAGTGTCAGCCAGAATCTTTGATAAGACCAAGAGCTGGTTGAGTAAAAAGGGAAGGAACTTAGAAGCAGCGAGTTGACCAGAGGGGAAGATCAGATAGCAGCAGGCGAGAGAAATGTGATGACGCCGTAGCTCACTCTCCTGTAGAGTGAAGGGGATTCTGTTAGTGCCCACCGATAGGGTTGTTGTGAGCGTTAAGTGAGAGGCTCAGCAGACGTTCAGGGCATAATAAAGTCTAGCCTTGCTCAGTTTAGGTTTTGTAATTACTGGACCCTGAACACGTGTAGGCTGATGCGTGTAACCACGGGAGGGCAAGTCATGGAGTTCTAGAGGAACTGCTTACTATTTAGTACTCTAGACCAAGTCAGTGCGTTTTAAAAGCTTAAGAGCTTTGTAGGGAGCGGGCGTAGTGGATTAGATGGTAAAGCCACCACCTGCAATTTGGTATCCCGTTGTGGATGCCGGTTTGAGTCCTGGCTGCCCAACGTGGGATCCAGCTCACTGGGGCCCCCGGGAAAGCAGCGGAGGATGGCCCAAGTGCTTGTGCCCCTGCTACCCAGTAGGTGGGTAATGGTATAAGGAACTCCATGTACTCATGACTGAGCTTCAATAGTATCAAGTCATGATCCGTCTGTTTCCACACACTTTTTTAAAAAATCAAATGCTGCTAATCATGTTACTGTCCCCTAAATATTGCAGTCCTTTTTAAAATATATTTATTTTTTATTTACTGGAAAGGCAGAGTTAGGGAGGGGGAGACAGAACTATCCGCTGGTTCACTCACCAAATGGCTGCAATTGCCAGAGTTGGGCCAGACTGAAGCCAGGACCCAGGAGCTAACTCCAGGTCTCCCACATCAGTGCAGGGGCTCAAAAACTTGGGCCATCCTCTGCTGCTTTCCCAGGTGCGTTAGCAGGGATATGGATCAGAAGTGGGGCAGGTGAGAATCGAATTGACACCCATTTGGGAAGCTGGTGCTGCAGGTCGCAGCTTAACCCACTATGCCACAGCACCAACCCCAATACTTCAGTATTCTTATAGAGCAAAACTAACAGTTCCTTAACGCTGTTGAATATTCAAGTTCCCCAGTTATTTCAAAGGTGTTTTCTTGGTAATTGTTTGATTTGAATCCAGACAAGGCCCATACATTGTTTTCATTTTTCTTTCCTCTAAGTCTTTCCTTCTACAGAGGTCTCCCTCTTTTTTCCTTATGCCCTTGATGGGAAAAGGAGAATCCAGGTCATTTGTCCTATAGAATTTCCCACATTCTGCATTTGCTTTCTTAAACTGTCATTTAAATTGCCCCTTTGACCTCAAGGATTCACAACTTGGTTAGATTCTAGTTCAGTTGTTTTAGAGTAGTTGTGTGGTAGATTCTTGTTGTACTGTACCTTACTCACAATGTCCAATTTTTTCCACTCGGGTTAAAGTACCATCAGCTAGGTCTCTCACGAAACTTTCACATAATGACTTCAGCACCTGTTGAAGATGACCTAGCTTCATCATTAGTAGTTGCAAAGTGGTGATTTTCTATTTTTATCATACCTGAAATCGAGCTGTAAAAGAACATTCTATCATCAGGTGTTTGCTTGAAATGTAGTCCAGAAAGGAAAGGCAGGATGCATGCTTGCTTCTTTTTCTTTGTTTTGAGAGAAATTAAGTTGTGCCTTCAGGAACTTCCAATGGCTACCAACATGGTTGTATGAAAGTCAGAGTTAGACAGAGAGAACTCTTGCATCCACTGGTCCATACCCCAAATGGCTGCTACAGCTGGGCCAGGCTAAAGCCAGGCGTCAGGAACTTCATCCAGATCTCACACATTGATGAAGGCCCCACTGCCACTACCCTGGTTCACTACCCAAGTGGCTACAACTACTAGAGTTGGGTCAGGCCAAAGCCAGGAGCTTCATCCAGGTCTCCAACATGGATGCGTGGGCCCAAGCACTCAGGCCATCTTCTGCTGCTTTCCCAAGTGTATTAGCAGGGAGCTGGATTGAATGTGGCGCAGTCAGGACATGAGCTGGTACCCGAATGGAACATGGATGTCACAAGAGGTTGTTCAGCCCACTGTGCCACTACATCCACCCATTCCATAGTTTTTAAGACTGGGAAAGGGTTCTGAAACCAAAAAGTTTGAGCTGCTACAGTGTTGTCTCATTTACATTTTCCTGATAAATGATGAGTTCCTTTTCATATGCATATTGTGTATTTGGATATTGACTTCCTTAAAGTTTAGGTTTTTGCTCTTTTTCATTGTATTGTCTTTTGAAAAAAACTGATGTGTATGGGGCCGGCACTGTGGTGTAATAGGTTAAGCATCTGCCTGCGGACCACCATCCCGTATGGGCGCCAGTTTGAGTCCCGGCCACTCCACTTCCAATCCAGTATCTTTGCTGATGGCCTGGGAAGGCAGTAGAGGATGGACTAGGTGCTTGGGCTCCTGCACCCTTGTGGGAGACCCAAAGGACACTCCTGGCTCCTGGCTTTGGTTTGGCCCAGTTCCAGCTGTTACGTCTGTTTGGGTGGTGAACCAGCAGATGAAAGGCCTTTCTCCCTCTCTCTGTTTAACTCTGCCTCTCAAGTAACTAAAGAAATCTTAAAAAACAAAAAACTGATGTGTAGTCATCATCCCCTAATAATGTGTCTTTAATATCTTTTCCCATTCTTTTTCTTGCCTTATTAGTCTTTTAATAATACTTCTAAGATTTCTTTATTTCAAAGTCAGAATGATGAGGGGGCAAGGGAGAGATATCTTTCATCTGCTGGTTCACTCCCTGTGTGGCTGCAAGCCAGGCGTCCAGAACTCCATCTGTGTCTCCCACATAGGAGCTCAAGCACTTAGGCCATTTTCTGCTGCTTTCCCAGGTGCCTTATTGGAGCTGGATCAGAATTCGAGTAGCTCAGAGTTGAACTGACACATCTATATGGGATGCTGGTGATGCAGGAGGCAGCTTAAGTCACTGCACCACAATGCTGGCCCCGGTGGTACTTTTTGAATAACGAATTCCTAGTTATAATACTATCCAGTTTATCCAGTTTCTACTTTTTAGAAATTTAGTAAATGTCTCTCGTTTCAAAAATAAAGATGAGAATTTTCCCATTTCGCCTTCTAGAGGCTTTGTTGTTTTTGCTTTTCCCACTTAGATTTAAAATTCATAAGGAAATGATTTTTGCTTATGAGTAATGTAGTCAGATTGAGTTTTTCTATGAATATTCAGTTTAGCAAGCATCAATACATGGCACTACTTTGACCACCAAATTCCACCACCAAGAATTTTCTTCATGCCATTAGAGAGAGCACTCATGTTTATTAAATTCACTCATAAATTTCTAACTTGTGATTTTTAAGATTTTTTAAATAGTGCTGTCAATGTCAATTTTAAAGTATTCTTAAGACATACCTTCCAAGGAAATAAATACAAAAAAAGTAATGTTCAATTTTACTACATATAAAGGTAGGGTGTTCTGGACTTTAGCCAGTTTTGATTTATAACATTTATCTATTTAATACATGATCTTTTTCTGCTAATGGTATGCATAATATATTGAGCAGTGTTTATGATGTAATGCTTAAAGTATGAACTGATAGTGCAGAATTCATTCTAACCTGTTTACTTTTCAGGAAACGATTTGATGGCAAATTACAATCAGAGTCAACTAATAGTGGAAAAAACAAGAGGGACACAGATATCGAAGGCACAGATGAACCCATTTTTGGAAAGAAGCCCAGGTTAGAAGAGTCAATAACTGAAGACTTAAGGTAATATTTCCATAGTTACAAATATTAGTAATTCTTAATTCATATCATAACATCAGGTTTTAAAAATTGCTCAAATATTGATACTTTATAAAAGTATTTGCTGAATTAGAGGAATGAAGATAGCTATTTTGACTTATGCGCTTACAAAAGCATGTAAACAAAGAGTACTTAAGTTTGGAAAATTCGATGATAACATAGAAAGACTCATCTTTTAATAGTTTAGAATTCAGTTTTGAGAAATAATTTTGAAGTGTGATTTTTTTAAAAAGATAAGATTCCTTTTTTAATGTCCCAAGAGGAAGGTCCTTGAAAGGGTAAATAAAAAGAAAGAATAAAGCTGATCCAGGAGATGGACTATATGGGAAGGAACACTGGAAGGAACGGTTTTCACTGTTGAGTGCAGCAGTAGAGTAGCTATAAATCTGAAGACTCCTGTCGATGAGGCAGACCTGTGGATGTCTATG